GATTACAGGAGGTACCTATGACCTGGTTGTAGCGGTGGCGGCGTTGATTTGACTCGAGTGAACCTATTTCACGGCAGACACCCTTCTATGAGGAGGACACGCGATCGCGTCAAAGGTAACTCTCATGATATTCAAAATTTCTTCATATAAAGCATGTGCCGGCGACATAAGTACCAAATAGATTATGTGATTCGAGCCCTTACATGGTCACTATATGTGAATTGTCTGACTAGTGGATGAGACGAGACCCACAGGATAGACCTACTACTACATGGCTGCAACATCTAAACGCCTGCTAACTAGCTGAGCCAACATCAAATATTTTAGCCATGAAGGAGCTGGTTTGGTATCTGGCAGATGGGTGGAACAAGATGCCCAGGATAGTCCAGCTGCTTCATGGATATTACATGTTGACATGTGCCAGCCAGCTGAGTTAACATTAAATATTTCAGCTGCGATGGAGCTGTTTCCTGATCTGACAGGTGGATGGGATAAGATCTTCGGCATGCTCTTCCTACTACATAGTTGTCATGTCTGAACATGTGCCAACCAGCTAACCTAACATCAAACCTTTCAGCTGCTATATAGCTGACTCCGTATCTAACCCATGTGCGTCGACGTATGCGTCCAATGAAATTAGAAAACGTGACTACGAGATATCATACATTTGGCAGTGTACGTAAGTAATTCTCGAGCTAAGTAATCACCGGTCCGGGAACCCGATGCAGTGTATCGGGGTTTTCCGGCTTCCAATCGCAGCGTGAAGTAAATTTAGTTGCACCACAATGCCCTCCTGCAATAAACGACATATGGCTCACCTATCTGGGTTCCATGAGCGCCTCGTATATCTCGCCGTACTCTTGCCACCGACCAAAGACACACCAGACCCTAAACGCCCTCCCAAAAGCTACAAAAACCCATGAACATTCGCGGACTCAAGGAACTTCTACTACATGCGTTTGAGCACTTGCTCGCCGCTGGCTCTCGATCCCCAATACTTCTATGGCTCTATCAACTAATCAGGAATACCGAACCTGCTCTCACTCGTCTTCTGGTGAAGTGTGTCCTTCGATTCCCTCGATCTCTGCTTCAAACAACCCAATGGATCATGAACTTTGCCATCCATCATCTCTCCGCAATCCCCTCCTGGAACAAGCGTAGGAGCCCTCCCAGCATCGAATTCCATCGCCCTAGAGATGTGTTTCCCTTGACTTCTTCAACTATCTTCACCTGTTCCCTTCCTGAATTCCGTTTCTCTGGGTCGAGAGATCAATCTCTGTTACCCCTCCATACTCAAAATCTGCCTCCTTCGGAAATGGCTGCCCGCGAGCATATTCCAGCGAGTGTGCCCAGTCGTGTTGAAGAAGGAACTTACCAGCTCGATCACGCTGACAGATCGATAAGTGGACTTAGTGGAGAGACCGTAATCGGCACTTCCACTCGTAGCTGCCCCTCCCTCGATGCATGTGTGGTAGATTTCGTGGGACAACCGGGGCGCCGTTCACATCGACACTCACACCCCATATGAACATGAGCGGTATGAAAGAAAGGTCATCATGTAAGTCCATTCCTATTATCGACCAGGTGGCTGAGAAACGCTGTAGTGAGAAGGTGGCCTACAAAGAGTTCATTATTGACCCATTGGAGATGGACTACTCACCGTGAGTATTTCCAAGACAAGAGAGCCTTTCGTCGACTCAGTCGCATCGCAGTCCCGCCGCTCCAGAAAACTGGACACCTTTCACCCACCCAGAAGGTTCAGTATACTTTCAAAATAAGATGTTGGTGCGTCCGTAAATCAATTCCTCTCAGACCTCCTTCTGACCTCATGGATCGCCGTAGGCAACTTATCCAATCCTGACTGATGTTTATGTATACGAAACTTCCGCTCGTGAAGAATTAGAGGGTTATATCAACAAGATTCTCACATATATCAACCAACATGCAGTACAATTACCGCAAGACGATATCTGTCTCGTTCTCGAATTCCGAAAGAGCAAGAACTGCGGTTATTATTTCGTGAACCATGCCCGACGGTGCCTCTTCTGGCTCGCTGAATTTGATGCTATCGACTTTCTCGCTGCGGTGAAAGTGCACTATGAACCATCTCATGTCGGTGGGTCTCTTATCTCGCATAAGCGGTCCCGGGATAAATAACATGTGCCCACGCAGCCCATGAAATGCAGGCACTCTACTGGTTAGTCTCCGAGGTGACAATGTCATTCCTTTATGCTCAACGACGGCGATTGCTTCAAGGCTACATAACGAGTACTTCCCTAGTCCGGATATCCATCCGATGGCCCCTAAAGTCCTTACAGAGCTGGAAGACATTCTGCACCAGGCTATTGGGGGTTTGTGGGCTCCTCGATATCGTAATTATCCATTCATTGAAATACATTCACATCCAGATGCGTTAACGTCGTCCTCCCCGACTATGCCTTATACCATCGATGTCCTTCAGCAGATGTTAGCTCTAACAAAGAGTGTTAAGCGTGAGTGAATGCTGATCATTTTCAGTCGTGGCAGTCTCACTTCAAGTAGAACTGGACCAACAGGACCGCGGTTCAGGATCAACCTCCATGATGTGTAAGTAGATAATCTCAACCGAGGTGTCTACGTGAGCTTACGCATCGTATTAGATCGATTTTTGCACAACTTTTGTGAGTCTACCCATCAACTGGGGCGCAATCTATAACCTATGTCCTCGAAGACCATGAATACTTCCTCCATCTCCACGGGCAAAGGGCTGCACGTCTGGATAGGGACCAACCTATCCATCCTACATATCAACGAACGTTCCTCATGACCATTTTCTCTCCATTATTATTCTATGGCCCTGAGATACACTCGAAAACACTTCAAAAAACCGCTGTCGACGCCATGGTACGGAAGGCAGACTGGGATGTTGTGCTAGCACAATTGACTGATGGCTGGAAACAACTGAATATTTATGTACGTGTCTAGCAGCATCGGCAACGATCTTTACTTGACCGTGGCCTTGAAGGCAACTGTGATGCTAGCGGCCAACGTGGCCTTTTTGGCAATTCCAAGCATCGAGGGCATGGACGATGCGAGTGCACCAGGCCGCTGTTCATGGCAGCAGAGTATTAGCTATCTTTCGACTATGGGCAGTCTCGGCTCGATTATTCTGGGGCTGTTCCTTGTGCAATTGCACAATACCACGTTGAAGGCGAGTTGAAGTCTAGGTCTCGTAGAGGAAGAATATAATAATAACACATGTTGTCTTCTTGTAGCCACCAAATTTTCTCGCACAGCGAAGCGTATCCTCCTTCGGTCTCGAGACTCTAGCTTTGATGTACAGCCTTCCATATGGGTTGCTCATGTGGGGGTAAGATATTCGACGTCATAAACTGCTTCGTTCGTGCCAACCAACACTTTCTTTTTTAGGACTACCTCTTTCTCGGTAGCTTTCCTCATCATGGCATTCAGTTTTCGAAACAAGCCAACGATTGTCATTCTGTCCATTTGCCTGGTCGGATTCTTACTTCTCCTTGGGTGGTGCATATCGTCCTCTTTCGAAACGGAGCCGTTCTGGTATCCGTGGCCGTTTAGGAAGGTGATGCATTATTTTGACAAGTCCAAACAGTTTAATGGAGGGCTAAGGCGCCAACGTGGGGAAGTCATTGTATGATGGACAGTTTTACATCTTTTGTAATTCAGTAGGTTTAGGACATCTATCATTGCTACATCTCGCTCCTCATGGCTGTTGTACTAGGAAATGGAAGCTGCACATTTATCTACGACATCATCAGTGGATGCAATGCGAAGGGTGACTACTTACCGCCTACTTCACATTTCTCTCGAAGCGCCCGCATACAATCTCCATCATTCCTGGAGACGTTGCCCAGATCAGTCATTGGGAATTGAGTTATCAAGGCGTTCAAATAGGCGCCCATCAGTAATGTGTTTCAAACAATACCTCCTAGAGGTGTCCTGGTACTCGTCACCTTTTCACTGGCTGATCGGCCGCTTTGTAGGGAAGAAAAGAGTCGGAAGATTGATATCTGACTCACCTGGGTCTCTGGCTCCCGCTTTGCAAAAAATTTGAAAGCACTCGTTAAGCGTTCATCATCAAGACGAGACCAATATATCGCAATTCTGGATTTACGAGTTCGAGTTCGATTCGCAAAGAAGGCTTCCAAGTATCTACTTGATCAAAGGAAAGCGAAACACCCCCACCATGCTGACACTGAGTGCCGCGTTGTGTGAATACAATCCAGTCCATCAATGCACTATTCCACATTGGGGCTCTTTTCCAATAAGGCGTCGAACGTCACATTCGCTATGTCAACCCCGTTGACGAGCAGGGAGCGGTATTCCTCCGCGGCTGTACCGATTTCGTTGCGGCCGCGGATGCTTTGGGAGAAAGCCCAGGCGACTTTCTCTGGCACACCGACACGCGTCCCGCGTCCCGTTCTTCGTATGGTGGTTAATACTTGCAATCAATATATCCATGAGCGAAGTAAATGTCACAGCTACCTCATCATCGCGGCCCAGAACTGTTGCATCCAGTCCTGGCGCACAATTAAATACTAAGGAGAAGCACCAATCAGGAGATTCGTCACCGTGCTGCTCAGCAGGCGAGCTCAGTTTAACGCGGAACAATCTGTCCCATTGATCTGGTGGTTACCACGTGGCCTCCGAAAATATACCCGGATCCGTCAAAGCCCAATCACAACCTGATCACAACCGCCACTCGACTGTCGAACGACAATGCTCTCTTCTGAGACTCTGGTACTCTGCCACAAATGCACTTCCCACATTCTAACGACGCCTCCCCCAGAGCCTTCACCGATAACACCTTTACTAACGAGCAACAATGTTCCAGAACCGCACGAGGTTGCGATCGTCCTTGAAGTTATCAGGTCCTGCTCAACAGTTGTGGCACAAATCGACGAACTCATGGCCCAAGTAGCTCGGGTTCTCGGTATTCTTCAAGCCCAGCGTTCAGAATACGAGGAACACATTGAGAAGCACGAGAAGGTCCTATCAAAAGTCCGCGTCCTTCCAATTGGCGTTTTGTCGGAGATTTTCTTACGCACGTTGCCGCAAGGCGAGGACCAGGACAGCATGATGAAATTCAACACACTTGATCAGGACTTCGTTCCCTGGACGTTGACGAGAGTCTGTCGTTCTTGGCGTGCAGCTGCGTTGCTGACTCCGGCATTATGGACACGACTACCATATTTTCAATTTGGTCCTGGATCTCTTGTAGAGAGCCAACCTGAGGCTCTCGCACTTCTACGCCGATCTTTGGATATATCCCCGTCGATTCCCTTCTCCGTAAACCTCGGGCTCGACCCAATGTTCCCTGCGCACCTCTCCAACCCCCAGTTCACCCACCTCCTTTTCCCCCACTCCAATCGCTTCGAGCATATGACCGTCCACGGCCATCATAGAGACATAAGTCAGCGACTCTCTCAGATACAGGGAAATTTGAAGTCGCTGAGGTCGCTTTCGCTGTATCTTATTGGTAGCACCATCAATCTCACGGACCCATCCTTGCCCGTCACTACCTTTGTCGACGCACCGCGATTGCAGGATTTGCACCTCTCCTTCTCCCCAACGCAACAGCTAGTGCACTTGCAGAGCTATGTAGCTCTACCTTGGACTCAGCTGTGTCATGCATCGATTGGAAGGATCGCCGTCGGCGGTTTGGCCACTCTGCTTAGTTCGGCTCCTGCCCTGCAGGAATGTGTAATTGATGAGCTCGTTCAAGAGGCATCCTCAGTGCCGTCATTTACCAGCGCAGCCCTAAGGAGGCTACGTATCCGGATCCATAGCTCTTCCGATGCCCTGAACCTCTTCTTTTCCCATACGACCCTCCCTTCTCTCCAGAAACTCTCCCTCACCGTACTGTGCCTGGACATTGTGCCCCTCGTCACCTTTGTTTCACGAAGCTCATGCCCTTTGACGCTCCTATATGTCACCTTCGTCAGATGCAACGGACATCTGGCAAGACTTTTCGGTGCTCTCCCATCCCTAACTGACCTGGGTATGTCATACCGATACGATTTACTCGAAGATATACTCCGCAAGGATGAGAGCGGTGTGGCGGTGCTACCCCGACTGCGCCATCTCCTGCTACGCTTCCCTCGAACCCGAGACATATGGACGCCCTCTGGCATGCACCCGGGGGCAGGTCCCACTTGTCTCAGTGAAGATTACCAACGCCTGGTTTATGAGCTCGAAAGAGCAGATCTGGCGTCCCTCGACACGCTGACTCTCGATCGCCTTTCCCTCAAACATCAGGACGCGTTTTTCCTTGCGCTTGATAGATGGTCAGACGTCCAGCGGAATGTGTATGATCGTCTTCTGTCCGATTGGAATGACAGCCTCCGTCAGATCATCCATCCTGAAACTACAATAATTGAGGTGCGTCGCCCAGGAGTCAGATTACACAACATATGAGTAACTCCTCTTTTGATTAGAGCCTCAAACTGGATAAGATACTATCAGAAATTGAATCGCATCCCGAAATTTCTGCACGATACATCCATGTTCGTTTCTTTAGCACCGTCCTTGTTAAGCTTTCCTTTGATGACGAGCCATATTGTACAGGGAAACCCCATCCTGAAGCAGCTCCCTCAAGATCTCGCCCTTTTGCCTGCCGACCAAGAATCCCTTCGCCTGCGCGGTGACTCAATTTTTGCTCGATGGTGGACGTCGTTGGATGAGTACCTGAACGCAGTTGGGTGGAGATTCTCCAAGGAGACGAGAACCTTGGTATATGGGCGAAGGCGAGGGTCACTCACCGTGAAAGGTCTTGTTCAGTCCCATGACCCGTTCGCTTCGTTCAAGGAAGAAAATGGCTTTGTTATGCTTCCAGCTTCGTCATGGTAAAGTGGCTGCCATTTTTGTAAAATTGCCGAGTGCCTGTGCCCACCAGAACATCGTTAAGACGTTGTAATACCGAAACATAATGGAACGTCGTACTTATTGGACCTTTTGTTCTGTAGTGCCCGGCGGCTACCAGGAAGGCGCGGCACTGATGTCCGTCCCAGTCTCGCCCAACCCTTAGGCAGTTCTCCTGGCATCTTGCGAGAGTCAATCCTCCTCGAACTTCGGTCATTATTCTTCCTCTCATGAGGCGTTTAACTGGTCAAACACACAAACCGTTAAGCTGTAACGTCGGCATTGGATTCAAAGTCGGTCAGTTACCTCATTGGAACAATGGAAGTTCGACCTTGAAGGTGGATTTGATCGTCTTTGAGGATGAAACTTTTGGCGGAGGAGTCCTTGAGCTTCATCGGTTAAAGTACCCAATCCACCCCCATGACTCGTATCGACCTCAAGAGAAATAGTAGCATCCTTCAGAGCATGGAAGCAATCATGAGATAGAGCTTCATCCACAGGTAGCCAATTGGCCGAAGTGATTAAGGAGGTAACGAGGGCCAAATCGTGTACAGGCTGCATGACATCAACGTTAGGTTTGACTCCAACAGAGTGGAGGAAGCGCACAGGCATTGCGAATTCGAGAAGGCTGGCGATCTGGTCGAGAGCAACTTCAGGTCCCTCCAAGGTAGTCGATCCCAACAGAACTATGTAAGTCATGCTCGATGTTCAAAGTGGAAAGGAGTCCAAAATCCAACAAAACGGTAGGAATTGACCAGGTGCCTAAGGAAAGGATGAAGGTACCTTTCAGATTGAGTGTCAGGTCTTCGACGCTCTTCTGGCAGTTTTGAAGTAGGGTCCAAGTCTAATTCATGCGGTCTGGTTGGTTCATCATTAATAATTGACGTCAATACTTTCAAGAATGTGAGTGAAGTAATTGGGTATAGGTCGTCCGGCATACTGTAATTCGTATCCAGAGACCGTATACATAGTGGTGTGAATAAAAATCTTCTTCTGGTGAAGTCGGCGAAGCCGGGGTCAAGAGTGGACGGGCTTTAAGATGAGGGACTTGGAACTGTCTAAGTGTTTTTAAATACGTTCCATGAAAGAACAAATGCGGGAGATTATAAAAGTCTGACATCTCAAGCGTCGTGAGGAGTGGGGAGCGACAGACAAGGCGAGATTCTCGGTAAAAATCGGCAGAGAGGCTATTCCGATCGACTCTGGGGAAAGTCCATGCCATAAATTCCTGTAAATCGGAGTTCGGCCCATGAAAAAGCGTCATCATAGTGATGAACGATTCGTCGTCGAGAATTTGAACAATTGGTGTTTCCGGGTGTTCGGAAAACTGGTAGACGCTTGAATGGAAGATGAATGAATGAACATAGGATAAGATGTCCCGGCCGATCTAAAGACGAATAGACTTGAATAGGATGCGGCGAGAAATATGGCAGAAGGTTTTGGACACTAGGAGACACTTGGCTAGAATGGATTTCTCGCGCTTCGCGTCTTCAGCTTTACGGTCATGGCTTTCGAGCTCGAGGTGCTACATGACGAGATCGTATATTTCAAGGGGAAAGGCAGGTTTTATGAATCACTCTGGTTGAGGAGACATAATCATCTGGAGTCATGCTGCGAGTAGTACGTGAGTGTCCGTAGATATTTCGCGATGTTCCGGACGTACTGGTTGTCTATTTAAAATCTACGCCGAGACGTGCATAAAGAACGCATTGAAGATTCTCTTGAAGAGTGTGGTCGAAATTATTTAAAGTCTTAGTGCGTCAGAGGAGGCGGTGAAACGTGACCTCAAGGAAGGTTCCCACGATTGGCAGCCACGTCTCTCGACGCTGCGAAGCGCGTTCTCCAAAGACATATCACCGGCCTGGCGGCGTCCCCCTTCTTCTGGTATCCTATCGGCTTTTTTCTATTCGTTGTGTCCACATAATCCATTTTAGAGAGTCGCCATCCAACAGTCTGCGAGCATGTCGGTAATGCTCACAAAATTCGAGTCTAAAAGCAACCGCGTGAAGGGTGCGTTGCTCCTGAGGCTCCTGGGACAGAAATTTACTTATAGCCTCTATTCAAGGACTTGCATTCCATCCAACACAACCTCTTCTCGCGGCGGCACTTCACAATGGCAGTGTACAGCTTTGGAATTACCGTATGGGTGTGCTGGTGGATAGATTTGAGGAGCACGAAGGTCCGTCGTTATTTGCTACATATCACCATCTCGCGTTTTAATTTTGGCTCTAGGACCGGTCAGAGGCGTCGCGATCCATCCTACTCGAGCGCTCTTGGTGACTGGCGGAGACGATTATAAAATCAAAGTTTGGGGTAAGTACCAATATGTACCCAGTGCCGCTGTCTGTTATCCAACCTCTTCAAGATATCCGTCCACAGAACCGTCGCTGTCTTTTCACGCTTCATGGCCACCTCGACTACGTGCGAACAGTGCAATTCCATCACGAGATGCCGTGGATCGTGAGTGTTGACATCTCATCCATAAATTCAAATCTCATCCCTAGTGTAGCTATCAGCCTCGGACGACCAGACGATCAGAATCTGGAATAGCACTTCTCGCCAATGCATTGCTGTCCTCACTGGCCACTCTCACTACGTCATGTCCGCCCAATTCCACCCTAAAGAGGATCTCATCGTTTCTGCGTCGATGGACCAGACCGTCCGTGTATGGGATATTTCGAATCTCCGGAAAGGTTCCCCCAACTCTGGAGGACCCGGCAGCAGCAATAACAATGCTGGAGGAAACTTCGAGACATTCGACACGTTCTCCACCGTGAAGCACGTTCTCGAGGGCCACGATCGCGGTGTTAACTACGCCATGTTCCACCCAACTCTTCCTCTCATCATCTCAGCGGCGGACGATCGTACCATCAAGATCTGGCGTATGAGCGAGACCAAGGCATGGGAAGTTGATGCTTGCCGTGGACACTTCAACAACGTCTCGAGCGCCCTCTTTCACCCCAAGCACGAATTGATCGTTTCTTGCGGCGAAGATAAAACCGTCAGAGTCTGGGACCTTGCCAAACGGACAGCCATCCAAACCTTCCGCCGAGAGCAAGATCGATTCTGGGTGTTGGCGGCCCATCCCAACCTCAATCTTTTCGCGGCCGGACACGACAGCGGGTTGATCGTTTTCAAGCTTGAACGCGAGCGACCGGCGTTCTCAACCTTCCAGGACACGCTTTACTACGTTCGGGACAAATACGTCCGTTCGTACGACTTCAACACTGGTGCCGATATTGGACTGCTGAGCGTACGCAAATTTGGCAGTCCTTATGTTCCACCTCGCACTCTCAGCTTCAACCCTGCTGAGAGAACTGTCATCCTCACGATCAGCTCAGATAACGGGCTTTATGAGTTAACCAACCTGCCCCAACAAGCTCAAGGTGAAGTGAAGGACTCTAGTGTTGATGGGAAGAAGGGAACTGGCCAGAGCGCGATTTTCGTTGCCAGGAACAGATTTGCGGTTCTTAACAAGGCAACGCAGGTGCGCAACAAGGAGTGTGAATCTTACAATAAATTATTTGTCCTTACTGTCCTCTAGCTCATCGAAGTCCGCGATTTGGCCAACTCTATCGTCAAGACCATTAAGGCCCCCGTTCAAACGAATGAGATTTTCTACGGCGGGACTGCGTGCCTCATTCTCAGCTCGACTACCAGCGTAGTGTTGTACGACATCCAACAACAGAAGACGATTGCCGAAATCAACAGCCCACCCGTGAAATACGTGGTTTGGAGCAACGACTCTTCGCTGGTCGCTCTTATGAGCAAACACAGTGAGTTCTCTCGACGTGAACGTGAGACCGAGCTTACCGTTACACAAAGCGATCACGATTGCGAACAAGAACTTCTCCCAGCACAGCCTTATTCATGAGACGATTAGGATCAAGTCAGGGGCATGGGACGACGCAGGTGTCTTCATCTATTCAACGTTGAACCATATCAAATATTGCTTGGCCCAAGGGTGCGTCACTGGTTCAGCATAAAAAGCTTATCATTGACCGTTGTCTGCAGTGACCATGGCGTTGTATGCACTCTGGACAATCCCGTCTACTTGACCCACGTCAAGGGCAAGACAGTTTACTGTCTCGATCGTTCGGCTCGTCCTCGCACGATCACCTTCGATCCAACAGAGTACCGTTTCAAGCTCGCCTTGCTGAAGAACAACTACGAGGAGATGCTGTACATTATCAAGACATCGACGCTTCTTGGACAGAGCATAATCGCGTACCTTCAACAGAAGGGCTTTCCTGAGGTGATCATAATTGCATTTGTTTGGCGCTCTTCTCATATCTGACTTCGGGTAGATCGCTCTTCACTTCGTGCAAGACACCAACACAAGATTCGAGCTGGCCATTGAATGCGGAAATCTCGACGTGGCGATGGAAACAGCGAAGACGATCAACCGACCTGAATGCTGGGAGCGGCTTGCCCAGCAGGCATTGAAGCAGGGTAACCACAAAGTACGTTTGAGCGACTCTTGAGAACGTTCTAAGGTTTATGTCGGATCATAGGTGGTAGAGAAAGCTTATCAACAGACGAAGAACTTTGACAAGCTTTCGTTCCTATATCTCGCCACCGGCAGCACCGACAAACTTTCGAAGATGCAGAAGATCGCAGATGCCCGTGGCGATCCTATGTCGCGCTTCCACAATGCTCTATATGCGGGTGATGTTCAAGGGAGAATAGCTGTGTTGAGAGATGTTGGGCTTCGTACGTGGTCTGTCCTCGCGTCTCGGTGATTTTTTGCTCAGCCACTTAAAGATCCTTTGGCTTATCTGACTGCCAAAACCAATGGGCTCGATGACCTTGCTGCCGAGATACTGGAAGCCGCAGGCCTGACAGAAGCGGACGTTGACGATGTGCCCACCTTTGCTGCATCGACTCTTAAGCCACCACCTGTCGTCACAACCACCACCGATCTCGTCTGGCCATCATTGTCAACTGCAGAGAGCTTCTTCGACCGCGCTCTCGTCAACGGACAGCTAGAAGGTGGTGCTGAGCCGTCGTACACCAACGGCGACGCAGCAGGAAGTTCAGCATTGGATGCCTGGGCTAAAGAAGAGGAAGAGGAAGAGGAGATCGACCCTGAAGATGGTGGCTGGGAACTCGATGCTGACGGTGGAGAGTTTGCACCGGCTGTTGAAGGCGAGGATGCCGCCGTTGATGCTGAGGAGGAGCTGGGTGCGGGTGCAACACCCGGACCGAGCGAGCCTGATCTTTGGGTCAGAAATTCACCACTGGCAGCCGACCATATCGCTGCTGGGTCTTTCGAAACTGCTATGCAGGTAGCTCTTTCTGCTTCTGTAAAAAAAAATGATCAGCATTCTGACAACCTTTTCGTAGCTCCTTAATCGTCAATTCGGTGTCATCAACTTCCCTGCACTCAAACCTCTCTTCCTGTCACAATATCGCTCGTCACATACGTACCTGTCGCCTTACGCCTCATTACCACCGTTGAAGCTGCACGTTCGCCGCAACACGAGCGAGTCTTCTCCCAGCCGTGTCTTGCCTGTCGCTGTACGCTCGCTACAATCGATCCGAGCAGAACTTGCAGAAGGATATCGCTTTGTCTCTGGAAACAAGTTGACGGAAGCCCAAGCGACTTTCCGATCTGTACTAGAGAACCTCTTGCTGGTCGTTCTTTCGTCAGATGAGGAAGCTAAGCAGGTTCGTTACTGCTTCGGCACAATGGCTCTAATTTCTAATATGATCTCGTAGTGGAGAGAAACTGTCATGGCTGCGCGGGAATATCTCCTCGGTGTTTCGATCGAACTAGAAAGGCGACGAGTGGTCGAGCAAGAACCGGACAACATCCAGCGCAACCTCGAACTTGCTGCATACTTTACGCAATGTCAACTCCAACCTCCGCATCTACAAATCGCTCTGCGGAGCGCGATTGGCGCTTTTGCGAAGGCCAACAACCAAGCACATGCGGCACGGTTCGCGAAGCGTCTGCTCGAGCTCAAGCCCGACCCAAAAATTGTTGCCCAAGTAAGACAGATTCCTTCCTTCATATCTTGTTCGATTCTCATCATGTGCTATTCTGCAGGCCAGACAACGTATTGCTGCTGGCGACCGCAACCCACGCAACGCCGTCGAAATCCAATACGACGAGTTTACGCCCTTTGAGATCTGTGCAGCGACGTACACCCCGATATACAAGGGCTCTCCCTCCGTTCACTGCCCCTACACCGATGCGGCCTACCTTCCTGAATTCAAGGGCACCCTCGACCCTCTAATTCAACTGATTGAGATCGGGGCTTCTGTAACTGGTCTGCCTGCTTCGTGGTAGGGCAATAGCTGGTAGAGTAAGATTAACCCGGAGGATCGTGGAACTTTAGCTTATAGTTCGATTCGGCGCTACCTTTCTTCGTGTAAAAATCGATTTTATGTTTCTTTATTTCCAGGAGCAAGTGTGCAAGGCAATGAAAAGGGTATGCTGCATTGTCTTTTGTCGGTTTCTCGGGCAGGTCGAGCTCGTCGTTGTGCGGTTGTTGACGCATCGACTCGTGTGAACCTACATAGCTTGATTGAGTTGTCTTCGTTGTCCTTTCGTTGTCCTTGCACATGGGAGTTCAGGGTTTGACTCCTTTCCTTCAAAAGACCTGGTAAGAGTCAACATGCTGGTACATCTTTTGAACGCAGCTAATACGCCGTACCCAGCCCGCATGTGTTGAAGAAGTTACCTAATCGCTTTCAAAGTCTACGCGGCAAGAGAGTCATTATGTGCGTCCATCTTCAGGACCAATCGTTTCTAGCGACGAATATCTCATTTCTGATGCAGTGATGGAACGCTCATAACCCAACGATTTCATTTTGTGCAGAACGGACATCCGTACCACCACATCCTAGGGTGGTATCGCCTTCTTCAAGAGCTGCAAGATAATGGAGTGTCTGCGGTCTGTGTTTTTGACGGGAAGGAGAGAAGTTCCGCGAAAGCGCGTGAGGTGAGTATATCTCTTCTTATTCCTGCTTCGTTCTCTGATTCTTTTGACAAAGCTGCAACGGCGACTTGGAGTGCGCCTTCTGGCCAACGAGAGGAAAGTGATCGAGGAACAACGTCTCCAGCGATTGAATGGCCTGAAGGACGCGGTACAGCAATTGCAGGACGCTGACCCAGACGTCAGGAACCGGATTGCTCAGTCCTTGAAAGACACTGCCCTTGGAGTGGAGGACAGCGGAATATCTGCTTTACTTGAAGCAAATGAGCGGCTTAGCGATGAGGGACCCAAGGTGTCAGAGCCCCAGGAGTCGCCTGTCGCAACAGAAACTACCGAGCTGCCTCCTACAACGCCTTCGGTGCGTTCTCTTGTTGTCTGTTTCTCTCCGTTCGTAATCGAAATCCATAGGAGGAAGAGAAGCCAACAAGTGCTGAATCTGGTTCCAAAATAATCTCAACCCTACATTCCTTATTTTTAAGTTACAAGGCGAATGTTGCAAAACTTGTGTCTCTCTCCATTGGTCATTCCGAGACGCCACCACCCCCTGCCGTTCCTGCTACCACTGCGGAAGAAGGAACTGAGCAAATCATGACGAAGGCTCAACACCAGCTTACTGTCGAAGAAGGAAAATTCTGGCGCAAAGCTGCGGCTGCGCTACTTATCCCAGTTCTAAATGGCGTCCACGCTGTTATTCCGAAGGCTACAGAAACTGAGCTCGATAGACTCCTTCAACAGAGCAATTTCATGGCTGTATCCTTCGAGCGACGCACTAAGGGACCGCCCGGTGAAACATTCCGTCAATCGAAGAGAATCATCGATGCTATGGGAGTTCCCTGCATAGAATCAACTGGGGCCGTGGAAGCGGAGGCCCTGGCTTCGTCGATGGTACTCGGAGGATTGGCCGACTACGTCATTAGCGAAGATACAGTAAGTCCTGATATCCTCATGGTCATGGTATCCCGAACCTGACCTCTCCAGGACGTACTCGTCTATGATGCCCCTCTGATCAGAAATTCCACCAACAGGCTTGAACCCCTTCTTGTGATGTCGGGACAGGAAATTCGATCCGCTCTCAACATGGACCACAACACTTTCATCGACTTCGCACTGTTGCTAGGCACAGATTTCTCTCAGCGCATCGCAAACGTCGGCCCACAACGGGCATACAAATTCCTCCAGAGCTATGCTTCTATTGAACCGATTGTGGACATCGTTGAAACTGTCCCAAGATACGATTTGAAACTCCCTCGAGACGCATACCTGGCCCAAATAGACATCGCCCGACAGGTATTCCAGAACCTGCCACCCATTCCTCCAGAAGAAGCCCTCAAACCCAAGGTAAGGGATCAGCAAGCCGTTGTGGACATCCTCCAGCAGCATCAGCTCGGACGACTACTAGATGAACCCGACTATGAGGGCTGGGAGTACGACGCACATTATCGCGGAAATTACTTCAATGACAATCCTAACTCCTAACCACACTGGTTGTTGGCTTCAAGTCGTCTCCGATCTTAGAACACGCTCTGCTAGGGTACAATCAATTTACAACTGTATTGTGACGCTGCTAGTACAATTATTTCTGTAAGATAACGAAGAGATTAGTTGGGGGATGTGGTACATCTACAAAGAATCAAGACCGAAAAAAAAGAGAGTACGCTTCCTCAGGGAGGCAGATAGATCTGGAGGGTAGTTTCCTCCGTAGATAAGGGTACTTGAAAGTTAAGTTAACAGGGGCCATCTATGTTTCCCAAGGGCTGCGACTAAGCATCACTAGGAGGATGTATAACGACAGTTGGAAGAGGTCGGTCCAGGGATGGCTTCGAATGTCCTGCTGGTACGTGATCTGGTAACGAGTTGACCTTCTGTGCTTCTATGTCTTGGTGATGGGTTTGGTCTATAGAAACTTGAACAGCCATGACGCTTTTTGTCGGATTACGCCAAACAATTTCGGACTTCAGACAGCAGTAAGAGATTAGGCCCTGGGTTTAGAAAGGAGAGGGAATACATACCGTGATCCCCTGACCAATTACTTCGCAGTTTCCAAGCAACCTTTCCTTCAGCGATCCACGTACGTTTAATCCATCCATAAATGACTAACACATTTAGTTCAGCAAGAATTCCTCTGAAAGAAAAAGGGCTACATCCGTACCGTGGTATACGTCCGTCCGATAGGAATGATGAACATAATATACAAATTACTGTTTCGCCTAACAACTGTTAAGAGTTTAATCAAGCACCGTTCGTGCGAAGGATATGGTGAGTGCTCACGGAAGGCAACAAGGGCAGAAAAGGCGAAAAGTACCGGTAGCAGGCCAGTCTGTCCTGCCCCACGGATGAGACGGTTGATCACACTGTTGGTCCTCGAGCCGTGGTCTTCAGTTCGTTGTTTCTGTAATAGTGCGATCAATAGGGCTATTCAGAGCAACTATTCAGCAGGATTCATCAGAAAACGCCACAAACGACGGACCAGCAATGACAATATCTAGTGCAGCTTGAATTCCCAGCCACCACGCAATCAAGGTCCGGAGCGATGTATGCGTCGAGATGCTAAGATAGTAGAGTAAATATATGGCATTCACAAAGTCCATAGCCGGAGACCGACTTAGGTAAAATCCAAATTCTAAAAGAGGTCGTCAAGTCATGATTATAGGCCTTTGTATGGAGGGATATTTACCTGATCCCAGAGGCAATCCCGGTCGCAAAAGAACAGACGGAAGCCAGGACCAAACCACCATACAACATCACGTTCTTCGAGATGCAGAAAATTCTAGATGATGAGAACACGTCAAAGCAAAATTCAGCGAAGACGTTGAGGAAGAGTTTATACCTGTAGACCATGGCGAGATGAGTGATTAAAGCTGTAAGCGCCGTTCCTATTGGCACATATGCATATGACCATATTGTGTCTGAAATGAACCTATTTAAATGGATCGATCGGGGTAGAAACTGAATTTACCGTCCACGACCGAAGGGACGGCGAACTTCTCGATGCTAACGAGACAGAATTAATTGTCAGGTCTGGCAAATCTGCACAAAGTGAAACTCACCAGTAGAACCATGCCATATAAATCATCCTGCAACCCGTCGAACGTCATCGGGCCTTTCTCGAAAAACCAAAAACAGGACATACGACACTGATTGAAACGAGTCGTTGATGAACAGCAAGGATATCCCAGACCTGAAACAGAGTTTTTTCAGTATCAAAGGGCGCGTCGAATGTAGAATGTCTCGCACTTGATGGTCCTCGAATCCTTGAACTCTAACGGAGGCCAGTCAGACAATCGCTTCACCTTGAAGGAGAAAAGACCTTGCTCCTGCTCGTGTAGTCCAAATACTGGACGCAGACAATACCGTAGAGATATGTATTAACTGGAAACAAAGAGGTCGTAAGCAAATGGGGAATTCGAATGCAAAAAAGGGGACGCACAAAATATCCCCATGACCAAAGTGCCTAGACATCCGCGACAAGTAAGTCTTTGCGTAGCAGCTCAGTCACAGAATAAGAACCTAGCATATTTTCGTAGTATGCCCCCATTCTGAAGAAAAAATGAATTGAAAGACACAAAATAAGGAGTGTGGAAGGACAAGGACAAGGAGGAACGGTAGTCGGAAGTAAACCGACCCCTTTTGTATATTCAAACTCGCCCTAACCGATCTTCATGACTTTATCAATTTGAATGCCGGGTCCCAAAAAGCCCAAATTTGACCGTATGGGCCTGAATGGTAAGCGCCAAGTCAGATGTGAAATGGGCCGTCAATGATCTCGAATGGTTAGGATGATTGGAGTAATGAAGGACAAAATCCTGATATGCTTCAGTACTCCAGAAACGAAAGGCATGTATGCAGCTCGTAGCAGAAGCCATTCGAAGAATCGTCGGCCACAGAGGTGAGGGCCAAATGAAATGGCCTTCAGCAGCCTTCAGACACCATCCAGGGGCGTCTAATGATGGCTATCATGCCAAGGCTTCACTTGCTCCGTTCCTGAGCAGAGACAGTCCAGCATCGTGCAGTGAGCAAGCTGCTCTTCCGAATCGATGAACTCATATATATAAAGTTGTGGTCGTCAACGGCTGCTGAAACGAGCTTGGTGGACGAAATTATAGAGAAAGTCCTCATTCTTCACGTCGATCCCAGGCTGAATTATCGGTCCGATGAATTCTCGACAAAGATAATCCATGCTCATCAATAATGAGATTGTCGAAGAGTCTAGAGATCTCTTGTGTGTAACCTATAGTCACAGATGGTCAGTAGACATAGCTTATATTCCTAACGAGATAACAAGGGAAACCGCACCCTGACCTTCGCAATCTAACCTCTTCGACCTTCATAAATTCATTTAAGCAGCCACCAGAATCCAGAAGATGTGACACGGACAAGAGCAATCCGTACGACCAGAAACACCTTGAAAGCAGCAGGGAACTAAAGGAAGTTTTCTTCGCTCGTCGGTTTTCGTTGTGGGACATGTGGCGTTTCTTGTTTCCGGCATAAAATCAGGCGGCATGACAGCTCTGGGCTTTGCGTCATAGGATATTTTTGGGGTTCGGTTTAGACGCCGATGGACCGTCAAGAGTAAAAATATCATAGGAGGTCTTGGAAGCGGCCGACGGTGCTGCACCGACTTCAAGTTAGCTTTTTCACAATCGTCCGCGGACGCCCGTACGAAAGGATCGGACTCGGGGTGTGAGGCTGTGTAGATGGGTCCGGGACCGAGTGTGCTGTGGCACCGGGGTTTTGCCCGGGTGCCATGGCATGAGGGACCCTCGTCGTCACGTAGGGCTCTCCTGTGTCAATGGATCTGAGTTGAGGCCTGTTGAGGCTGCGGCGGAGCTGCCTGGTGGTAATCTCGTGAATTCGCGACCATTCTAACGGCTGAGGGGTTGAAGACGAGGTTAACTGAATGCTCCGTTTGACGATCGAGGTGGAAGGTGGCCTGCGGTATGACTCTGCCTTGAGGTTCGTCTGCCACAGGGACTCGGGCCTGTCGCTGCGAGGCATTGGGGTCCAGGGTATCGTATTTTGGCAATAGAGGATTGCATTGAATCGAGGTGTGTAGATTGTGGTAGTGGTTAAAAGAAGCTTAAGGATGCAAGTCAACAGTCGCAAATATGGTGGCTTCGAAACTATTCGAGTTTTCCTTGGACTGTTCAATACTTGCTCAAATTCAAATCTTAACTGGTAAGGGCAGAATCCGGTGGTTGAGTAAAAGCAAGTATAATGGAATTTTAACCCGGGTATAATGGGGTATATGCTAGTCTGAGGACCAGCTGCTATGGTACATTACTTTGACACTATGGATACACTTGTTGCACGGGTACAAAGAATTCCGTTTCGACTCTATTCGTCTACCTGACTGTCAAGCTGAAGCAACCCGTCGAGCTCACAACGGTTGAGCGCGCCATCTCCCCTCAACGAGGGTAGGAGAGGAGCTGGGGGAAAGACCGTATGGTCACGATGGTTCCCAAGGTTGGGCGCTCCTCAACTCATTGAGGTTTCGCGATGCGCGTTGTAAATATATGCGCACCGCCGGTTGCTTAGAGTATATGACGGTGCAGGTATCCCAATGCATCTACACCATCGAAGCCTCGTCCTTTGTTTTTGTGAAAAGGGCAGGGCGAGTGAGTTTGACGCTGGAGGTCGCGTATTGGAAAGAAACGAGGACGGCGAGGACAATGGCCACGCAAATCGCGGCGTGGTGGAAGGATAGGTGTTGACAGAGGAGGATAGCCCATTGTGAGAAGAATGTGACGAGGCTCCAGAGGAAGAAAGCTTTGGGTGCGGCGTAGGTGAGGGCAACTCCTTGGAATTTGAAGCGTGTTGAGCAGATGGTTTGGAGGAAATCGTGGGCAGGAGCGGCGCCGGCCTTGTCGAGTTCTTCGTGACGGTATATAAGGAGAACGGATGTCATGAGAGCGAGACTCGAGAGTCCACTGGAGACACAAGCAAGAGAAGGGGAAAGAGGAAGGAAGAAGCAGAAAACATGCAGACTAGAAGATAATTGTGATGAGCACTTGACTAGGGAAGTTTGCAAATAAATCTTACAGAAGCAGGCCGACAGAGGCGACAAAAATGTGTTGCCAAGTTTTGATGCAGGAAGCCATGAAAGAATCCCAATCGCACCCATAGACAAAGCGGTCGACGTAGAGACCATCCAATCGTCTCAAATATGGTTCATAGGTCCGGAGGGTGACAAATGACAGGATGGGCTTAGTCCATTGGACTTCGGAGACTTCGTCAACGAGAATTGATGTGTCCCGAGAGAGACGGGCTTGTTCCTGGCCATAGTGGGTTTCATAGCGGGCATAGGCTAAACAAATGTATCAGAAAGTTGGAATGCAATTATCACTGCCTCAAAACTTACTGATGACGCCCCAAAGACGAGCTACCATGGTAATAATACATCCCTCGCTGATTTGATCTATTGATTGAACGGGCAATGTCAGTCAAATGGAGACGGAAGATTTTGAGTGTCCAACGAACCTCGGGAAGATTTTAGCAGGTTGAGGTACTTTTCGCATTCCTTTGATTCGTAGGGGAAGGTAGAGAGAGCAGAAGAGAGGGTATCTACAAAGAGACAATAAGAAAGCGTCTAAATACAGACAACAAAGATAAGTGACATACCAGCAAGTCCGTGTGTAAAAATAAGGATAAGGTCATTAATCGCTTTCTCTGGCAACGCCCGGTGCATGCAGAAGCTCTCGACATGCGACCAGTATTGTGTTTCGAGGACGAGCTCTGAAAGCAGTGTCAGTTGAAAGCCGCTTGTGGTGGTATATAAGAACTGCTTACGGAGATGAGACGCGGAAATGGTAGGATGCAAACCAAGTTCGGCAGTGTCGCACGGTTCGAGCCAAAAAATTGTCCTCGTTGCGTGATCCACAAGGTAGTAATTGCAGTCCTCTCCAGATAGTTGCAGGTAGAGCTCGGCTGTCTCTGGGATTTGGCAATCACGTTCTTTCGCCAGCTGCTCGACTTTCTCAGCCCAGAAGCGGATTTGCTCAGCCACTTTGGCTTCCTGGAGGCACGAATCTGTGACAACGCATAGACCAGAGGTGCGATGAAAGTAGCGTTGCCCCTCAGGGTGCACGGTCTCGCACCACTTTGGTGGCAAGTAAGTGGGAAGATGCGACAAGAACATCCCGGGTTGGATAGTCGTGTAGGAGCGCTCGACTCTGAGGAAAGTATGAGCATCCGACTGGTCAGGAAAACAGACAATGGCGTACTTCACTCTGACCTCATATCGACCAGTGTTTGCTGGGATCGTGGGGATGAGGGACCCAGAAGAGATCTTCTCTTCGTTGAATTGAGAGCTGGGGTTCATGGCTGAGAAGGAAAAGTGAGCTTTGGAAATGGCGAATGAAGAGAGGGACCCGACACCTGTTTATAGTGCTACGCCTGGACAGCCTTGGGATCGTGGCAAATGTCAACCAGTCACAGCCCAGGCCACTGCCCACTGGCAGCAGTGCACGTGCCGGCCTGTGCCGGCACCACAAGGCCTTCCATCCCGAATTGAAAATTAATTATTCACGCCTTCCGCATCCTAGTTACATCCAACCTCTGCAGTCGTATGGCTTTTGAATGCAACATATCGTAGACTCTCTCAGTCGCGCACCACCCTTGTGTCCAACGGCACTGTGTGACCGTACGTCGTCATTATTTGTGACATGTAGAGTATACCCATATCCGGCGCTTATGCGAACGACTGATCCGAACAGTGCTACCCATAATCGATATCATTGTAACCTCCATGTCGGCCACAACTGAGCACACAACAGACAAGGCTGCCAGGTCAGTGGGCCATTCATGCAATGCAATTTCCTGTACAATGATGCTGGCTCACCTTGTTTCCTGAACGGCGACAGCGCCGAAGTGAAAGACTTGACCAACCTCGAGAACAAGGATCCTATCGTCCAGAGCGATCTACAAGGCGCAACAAGCGCTTCCAGCACGTCTGATGTTTCGGACCAGAAAGCAGTGGAAAATACTTCCCTAGATCCAACTACGGGCACAGGTATGATGTTGCCGTGATTCTTCAGAGTCGTAAGGTATGCTGATAACATTATCTTTTTAGATGAGAGCAAGGATGTGCAGGGCAAGGAAACCACCGACGATGAATCGGATTCAGACGACTCGGATGTGCCTCACTTTGAAGGGTAAGAATGAAAAGACTCGCGCCCACCATGAGTTGCCCGCTTACCAGTTTTTTTGTGTTGCAGGGGCACTCCTCGCGGTCGCATCCAAGGCCCGGTCGCCGGTAGCAAACCCAAACCCAGGCCAAAATAAATCCCCGGGCTCAACCGCCTTGTTTATTCTAAATATGTTGACCTGTGCTCAAATTTCTGCATACTTGAAGTTGAACCCGGCAGATCGCATAAGCATTGCACTACGCATGAGACGGTGCGAGAGATCTAAGGAAGATAATCTTTCGTGGTTTAGGCCCATTGCACCGTGAACCTGGAACAAGGAGTGACCTCCTGAACGCCATGAACTGCGGAGCGCCCACTCGCATATGACTTCGAAGCATTTGACAAATATCCCAGTACAAATCCGCCTCTTCTAGCAACTCGGTGACATTTTTTCATCCCATTATCCTCGTATTTGTTCTTCGACCCCTTTCATTCTTGACCATTCCTTCTCAGGTTCTCCAGGTTCCTTTCCCGTGGATATCAACCTTGCAATTGCATTTCTGTCATTGTGGCGCATTCCAAAATGCTTCAAACCCTCCATTTCCATACCACATGCCGGTGGGGCTCATTTGAGGTACTTAAAGATTCCTCCTCGAAGCATAACAGGCCTGGAAGGCCATGACCGTATACTTGACCGCCACTTGCACATGAAACTATCGGTTCTCCTCTTTGCCCGAGAACTCGCAATGGAGAATCTGCGGGAAGCTGTGCTGGACGGAGCATATTCACCTCTGGCCGCTGGCCCACAGTGGCCGCTTGGGAAAGCAAGCATAAATTCTGCTGGGTCAGTGGAGCCGGCAGGCTTCAATCGCGGAGATGAGCTTGTTTTGTCAAGCCCGACTCATCAGGCGCTCTAAGCAAGCGCCGAGGCCCGAGACTGGTCGAATGGAAAGTCTAAAATAAGCTTGCGTTGGCGGGCATTGACACGTGCTGTCGGGAACAACCGAACATTCAAGCCTCGATCATGTCCAAACATTTCGTAAGGCTGTCTGACAGAGGTCTGGATCTCCTCAACTTTACACCGAACGCCCGTCGTCCAGTGTTCCGTAAGTCGGAAACGGGAGGGAGCGGGAGGCAAGCTCGCGACCGCCAATGGCACGTCCGGGGCGCTCGCGACCATCCCGTCTAATTGGGATAGCCGAACAGTCGGCGCTGACTTCGTTGAACGGTGACGGGACGATGCTGGCATCTGGGCGAAGGGCATAGTTCCAATGCCTACTTATAAACCTCAGTGCCCTGTGGCATCTTTACGGGAGAAAAATCACTTGCACAGCGTCAGCCATCGCTTTCGCTGATATAGCAGCGCTTCTGTACGACATCGACATTTAATCACCACCAATAATTATGTCCAGCATTCACATTCAAGAACAGGCACTTAACCTTCACTGGCACTGCTGCTGAAATAGCGCCTCAGCTGTCCCTTCTACTACCACTCGTTTTCAGTTTCGTTATCCTGTTTCCTCATTCTGAAGGGTTCTGTGATTCCATAGAGGTGAAGCTCTGGACAGGTGTTCGGTAGCAGTGGGGGATGATAAGGCATTTGTCAATGACGCTACCACTTAGAGGTATCTCTCGACTTGCAGCACTACGAAGCTGATAAAGTTAACCTGGGTCTCCCACCTGGTGTCGCCACTGGAAAGCTCCGTCTTTAACGCTGGTCAGCAGATGATCCCAAAATGGATATTTTGTACTCAGACTGTGGCGTTTCGCCAACCCCTGGCTTCTAGAGGCACCCACAGTATATTTAACGCGGTCGCAGAAGGTATAGAACCGCACATAAACGGAACGAACGCCTGTACACGAGCTCCTCTCCCCTCTCAGCTGACCAGGATGCCATCTTATCAAGCGCCCACCAAGCATCCATCGCGTAATTACACACAATCCTTGGGCTGATTATAGGCTTCGGAGTGTATTCGATGGTCGATTCACTGACGCGTAAGCGTCTAATCGAAGCGCCCTCGTCTAATTTCCCCTTGCTCGTTCCCAGCTCATTCCTGAAGATTGGGAGTGTTTCTCCTCCAAACACTGACCCACTGAAGGGGGTTAAAAAGGCGGTCTCGGACGAGATCAGCTTGTGGTTAACGACCAACCTGAGGCCGAAGCTCATAGTACTGACACTCCAACCGCGCCTCCTTTCATCGTTCCACATAACGTCTCGATTGCACACCATGGCCCATTCGGTCGCAGAAGCTATTGTCGGCGCTACCCAGTCAGTACTTTGATCTTGCCCCTTATCTCAGTGTTACTCATATGATCTTCCACGCTGCCAACTACACCGATACTTGGATTCCAGAAGTACTGCCATTACCCCATATCAACTCGCACCTGGAGCTGCACCAGCTGGAGGATCGAATATCGGGTACGGCTACCATTGACTAGGCTCGATGCGTCGTCTTCTAAACGGTTGGATCCTCTAGCCTGCAACCCTCAGGAGCGGGCGATAATAACCCGTTTTCGTACGTCTTTGGACATATAAATCGGCTTCAGTGCTAACTCCTTGCCCTTCAGATTTACCGCTCGCGGAAGGCCGAAGCAGGTCGTAAAAGGAGACCCGCCTCCGCCTCCGCCTAAGCAAAACAAATAGGTTGATCCCGCAAGGAACACCGTCTTGAATTACCGCCGCGCTTTGCGCGAGTATCTTTTACAGTCACATCTTCAACATATGCAGCACTTTTTCCAAGTCGAGTCCATGCCATCTAGTTTACTTATCCCAATTCAATCGCCATCCATTGCCAATCATGCACCTTACATACTTATTGTGGACATCAACAGCACAAATACTTACATCCATTGATACATCTAATGAAATAGGAAAGGGAGGTGTCCGCGTGAAACTGAAGCACATCTCGAGTCATGATCGAGCGTTGAATCTCTAATAATACTATTGATAGTACAACAATGGTATCTCCTGACTCCCGGGTATATAAGGTCGCCTGGATCGTTGGTCCTCGCTGTCCTTCCATATCCCTAGACACCACTGCTCCGTCCTTGCCCAGCTTCCAGGCTGTTCAGCTCCACATCGCCTCTGATTTGTTCCACGGGGTGAGTTGTCGTACTTCCGATGAACGGGCCATTCATTTGGAGCAAGGATGGGATCCCACCGCTAGCTGTCGTCGACGACCGGCTCATCTTCATGTCTTCAGGATCGTTGCTCAACGTAGGACTAGGACCGCTCACATTGTCGGGATGTACGTCCATCCGCCTGCGACGGCGCAGCGATGGGAGGTGCTCGGCGGCCTTACTGATCAGTGGAGCCATCGAAAGTTTGGAGATAAGCTCTTTGGTCTTCACCGCGATGGGGTCCGGAGTTAAGTACCCGCTGGCTTCTTCGGTCGTTTCCCAAGAACTCCAGATGCACCACGCGATGAAAACGGCGATGGCACCGCCAGCAGGAGCCACGAGTGACCGGGTAGGAATACTTGTATGCTGGAAGCACATGAAGCAAAACGCCGCGAGGAAAGACACCATGCTAATAGTTTTGAGATTAGTTTTCTCTCCGAAGCGGCATTGTCTGGTGCTTACCCCCACATAAGAAGAGCATAAGGAAGGCCGTACAGAATTGCCAATGTCTCCAAGCCCAAAAGCGGATGCTTCCTCCGATTGAGGAATGCTTGCTACAATCGGGGTTATGCATCTCCCAATTAACGAAATAGAATGATGCGTACCACATCATCAGCGGTCTCTCTTGATTTCGTCCGGTTCTGTCGAACCAAAAGCAGACCGAGAATAATGCTTCCGATACTAGCCACCACCGACAGGTAACTGGATATCTGTACGCCTGATTTCATTGGGCCCTCCTCGTCTACGCTTTGAATGGCGAGAAGTGCCATGTTTGCGTTCAGCATAACAGTGCCCTAGAGCATATATTCAGCGAACACTGTATTCTTCGATAGGTTGAACGAGGGCATACAAAGAGGACGAATTCTTGCCATTCATCATTCATCTTCTTTACACATTCCTCCCACACGGCTTTATGCATTATTTCGTCCACCCACATCCTCTGCAAGGTCCGGAGATGAACATCTGGGGCAGACCACAGGAAGAGAGATACTGCTTTGATAAGAAGGGTACGCTGATTCGTCGAATCACCGTACACGGAGTAGTTGCGTTCAATGCGTGCATGAGCTTCGCCATGAAAGTGAAGGAATTTGGCGTGGACGAAAGTGTACAACATTCTTGCAAGCAAGCTGGTGGCACCCACAGACTGGAGTCCGTCCCCAATATTCTCTGGATAATCTTGTGTAAGTCGGTGGGTTTAACCTCTGATAATCAAACCTACTTTCCATGTTGGTCGTCAGTGTTAGGATTTTGTACAGATCGTCCAACGTGTAAGGCGATGTCGAAAGAGGAGACGTCATAGTATCTTGAGAAAAAATGAATTCTAAGCCTTAGCCCATATTTCTGCTCCCCAGTGAGACTTGCCTCCTATGAAATGCAGGGTTACATCCCGAAGCTCTGAGATCAAAGGGGATGACAACTTGATGGTGTCCGGATATAGAGATAGGAAGTACCTGAAAAAAGATAGTGAACCGTTGACCCTTAAGCGGAACTCGATAGGCTATACCAATATTGTGCTTGGATTTCGTAGTCTAGTATCGCAGATCAGTAAGGAGGTTTGAGGCTGGCGCAGGGGGAACTGCTTACAAAGATGATGTTCGGACTCGGATCCAGGGGCCTCTCTCCAGACGGGTAAACTGTCCTCGTTGATATCAAGGTAGTCAAAGAAGAAAATAGTCCGCGTTGGATGGTCAACGAGATAGTAAATCGTATCTATTTGGCCATCGTCCTCCACGCTGTAGTTGAGATCAATGACTAGGCAGCAAGGTCGCTCGAACAGAGATGTGAGGTTGTTCGTGGTGATATAGTTTTCAATGGCCTCGATGTCTTCTTCCGCTCTGTCCAGGATATTGTCATCGAACAGGTCTGCATCTGTGTATACAATCAATTTCTGCGGGTTGAGAATATCAGGCTTTCCTTCAAGTCTTCATATAAGAAAATACGGACGTTCGCGGTGACGTGCCTAAAATAGCGGCCGCCTTCTGGATGCGCGTATCTTCTCCAGCCGACGGGTGGTATAGGTCTGCAATAATGCTCAATTAGATAACGAATAGCGGACTGATGAATAAAATACTTGAGGAATGATCTAGTGAGTGGTTTGAGAGGTATCGCCGTCGTCTTCTTCTCTCTAATTGAGGGATCGAGTGAAAAAAGCTTTACGGCCATGTTAGGGAATACTCACATTGTCGCATTTTTCTCATAACGTTTGGTTCCGTCTGGCATTATGGGGGTCATTCGTGCTCGATTTAAATTCGGATATTCATGCAAATCGGACAACACCTCCATTGCAGTCTGAAAAGGGGAAGAGTCTGCTAAATCCACTGGAGGAGCATAGGCAACTGGCTCGCGGTAAATGGTATGAGGCAAGTCAGATATTGGCGACGTAAACGTTATATGATCCCCTGTACGGATGTCTACGGTGGGTCTGCGAATCTGGATATGGGGAGTGACGCCGTCATCCAACTCAGATGCGGCGTCTCCAATTGAGGATGTTGCGCCATGATTGATTGACGAGTGAGAAGCATTGACGCCAGTGCGTATCGACAGCCCTGAGCGAGATGGGGATGTGGGGCGGGAAGGTGCCGCGAGGTTGGTGGTCGATCGCTGTGCATGCAGGTTCTGCATCGACCGACGAACGCTGCGAATCGAACCAGCATAAGGGAAGCTAGATAGCAGGACGCCATCAAGCGAGATCGCCTCGCCATCGGAGACGATGTAGGGTACGAGTTCGCCAGTGTTCACAGGCTCTTGCTCGCCTCCTTCGAACGCCCACCTCTCCTTGGGTGTCACTGGAGAGCCTGTCGCGGGCGGAGAACGACCCGGTAAGTCCGGCTTGCCTCGCCCTCTCCATAGGAAGCAAACAAAAGAATGCTTTCTAAATGCCCGGAATAGGCGCCGTAGAAAGGCAATGAACACCGGGCAAACCAGGTCAGCCTTCAACATCGACGATAAGCTTCTGTGAAAGGCGGCCAAAATAACTTGAAGTAGAGGGGTCGACGCCATCCTAAGGAATGAGTGGAAAGGCGGGAGGAGGGGGGGCACTGGCTGCGTCCTGTGTATGAGGGTCTTACTTATGGCACCTTAACACCTTGCATTGCCCTTCTATCTTTATCGAGGCGATGACATTTGCCTCGTGTACGGTTCATGGCTTCGTCTCGAGTACTGTGCGATGACGGGCAGCTGAAGGGCCGTCGTCAAGATTTCTTTTGCCCTTGTGTCGAGGAAATACAGCATATAACAAAGTGGGATTGACAAATTGCCAGGAGATAAATGGTGCAACGGAAAAGAGAGGGCTTTTTAAGTTTTTTCAACTTTTTACGTTGCACGGCTGGTGTCACGCTCGTGACAAGGGCCTGAACTGCGATTAGATAAGGAGACTAGTTTCGTCGAGTCGTCCCAGAAAAAAGTTATCTACATATTCTACACGAAATACAGAGCAACCCAACCCTACAGGTACCGAGCACATCGCGCTATACATTTATAGATACAATTATTGGATGGTATGGAAGCCTCCAAGAAAGTGGGCGTATAAATCTTCCCTGCCGTTCGAAATCCAAACCCCCCCAAAAAAAAGAAAAAAAAAGTAATCATCATGTGTACGACTGCACCAATTTTGAAATCTATCGTTCAATGTCCGCATAGTCGTATATCGTATCGTCCAGGTCGTTTGCAGGTCATACAGCCGTCTCCTGCGAGTCATACGACTCTCGTCGCGTAGTCATCCTCAGGAAGGACGGTATCCACTGCCAGTCGAGCAGTGTCGCTTTTCTCACTACCTGGCTTGCTTTCTCGCTTGCCTTCTCGCTGGGTCTGGCGCTCTCGGAGTCGGAGGGAGGAAGAGCGACGGCGTTGTCTTCAGGCTGGCTTTCCCAAGCACTCCACACGCACCAGGCGACGAGGACGACGAGGGCAACGCAAAGTGAGCCGACAGACACACGGGTGGTTATGTTCGAGTCCTGGAAGCACATGCATGCGAACGCGGCGAGGAAGGAGACCATGGCCCACATTAGGAGTGCGTAGGGTAGACTGTAGAGAATAGCCAGTGTTTCCAGGCCCAAGGACGAGTGACTTCGTCTTAACAAAAACTTGTGCTGTTGGAAGCGTCAATGATTCAATTAATGTCCTTGGGTCATTATGGTTACTGACCACATCCTCCGCAGTCTCTCGATTTTTGGTCCGGTTCTGTCTGATTAGCAGAAGACCAAGGATGATGCTGCCAATACTTGCAGTAACGGAGAGGTAGCTAGATATTTGTGCTGCCGATCGATAAGGATCCTGTTCGATGTCAACACTCTGGATCGCGAGGAAGGCAACATTAGCGTTGAGCAGGACAGTGGCCTGTAGGCATATGCGATAAGAAACGATTATCAGGGATCCAAATCAGCATCTAGAATTCGTAGAGACTCACAAACAGGATGAACTCCTGCCATTCATCATTCATCTTCTTAACCGATTCCTCCCATACCGCTTTATGCATCAGCTTGTCCACCCACATCTTTTGCAGTGTCCGCAGATGGACATCAGGCGCAGAAAACAGGATGGGAGACATGGCCTTGATAAGCCATGTACGTCGAGTCGTCGATTCACCGTATACCGAAATATTTCGTTCAATGCGTGCATGTGCTTCTCCGTGGAAGTTATGGAACCTTGCATGAGCTGCGGAAGCGTTAGGATTGTATGCACCGGAGTAAGGCCTAGTAAGGTTTCAAAATACCGAAGATGTATAAGAGGCGGGCTGCTGTGGAGGTCGGCGAAGCATTCGACAAAGAGTGAAGCTGACTCACTCAGGAGACTCGTGGTGCCGACAGATCGCAAGCCGATGTTTTCTAATCATCTACGGTGAATTTAGGGTCGTCAAGGATAGAAAATGTTGGCCTACTTTCCGCATTGCTCGTTAGGGTCAGGATCTTGTACAGATCATCCATCGTGTATGGCGATGTCGAGAACGGCGATGTCATGCTGTCTGCGAGGTCAGAGTGATCAACAGGCGAAACCTGGGAGTAGGCCAAAAAAATTTCACCTCCGATGAAGTGTAAAGCGACATCTCGAAGTTCAGAAATCAACATAGACGTCAACGGGATGCTGTTGGGATAGAACTGGACGAATAACCTGCAGACAATGATAGTTAACAGAAATGCCTTTTTCGCCTCATTCGCTTCGCAAACGTACCAATATTGAGCCTCGATCTCATGCCCTATTCCAGACATCGTCAGGCAAATCTCGGACAAAGGACAACAAACCCACCAAGATGACTATCTGTCTTGCAGCCCAGAATCTCGTAGCAAGCATAAAGGTTGCGCGCTTCGTAGGTATCCAAGAAAAAGATCGTGCGGGAGGTATGGTCCACATAGTAGTACGTCGTCGCAATCGTCTTGTCCTCTTGATAACGCAGATCGATGACAAGGTCGTGATTTTCGGGCAAGGTGATGTGGTTTTTGGAGATGAAATTTTCCATCGTTTCGAGATCCTCATGGGCCTGGGTTAATATGTCGTCGTCGTATAGGTCAGCATCGGTGTAGACCCTCTGTAGGAAGGTCGTTAGCGAATGGTAGTCTTGTCACACGAAGTAGATCCACCTTCTCCTTGTGATAGAAATAACGTGCGCCCTCTGGATGAGTATGTTTAGCCCACCCTTCTGGCGGAAGAGGCCTGTAGATTCCCAGATCTGTCAGAAAATGCACCAAAAGAACGAGATGGTTGGCTTACTTAACGAAAGACGTGGTCAAGGAATCGATGGTCACCTCCGTCTCCACCTTCCGACTACAATCAGATAAATAATAGCAATCATTGGCAGCAAACCAGGAGGACGTACATCACCGGCCGATTTTCATAGCGTTGTGCAGCCTCCGGCATAACTGGCGAGATGCGCTCAATTTCGAGGTATCGTGCAGGTGTTGGAGACTCTGACTGGGTAAACTCGACGGGTGGTACACTCCTTCCGGTGGGCGAGAAGATCTCTATCTCGGGAGTGCCACTTGTGAGCTGGCACATAGGAATTCCAACGCTTGATTTAAGTTTCTCGAGCTCCGGGAGTGATGTGGACCATTGCCTGCGGGGCACGGGTGCGCGAGGATTCGGTCTCGGGGTGTGTGCAGCGGTCGGTGTTTGCTCGACGTCGAATGTGTAGCCTTCGTCTTCTGAGTGGATGGATCGCGACCAGTCGGAACCAAAGTTATGCGACGACCTTGAAGCATTCCGGGCCATAATGGTGAGGTTATGGGAGGATCTGGCAGCTTGGAGACTTTGCGAGGACCGAGACGAGTTGCGTATTCCGTCAGAGTAGGGATAGAGGGAATGGGCAGCATCGGCTATAGGGACAGCTTCTCCATCCTTGACCAGGGTGCATGGAAAGGCATCCGAACTTGAAGGGGTTGCTTCGTCCAAAATCTCTTCCCGTTTCTCCTTGGACGCTGCATCCACCACTATCGACCACCGACCACGTTTTGGCCCATCTTGGAGTGAAGGCTGGCGCTCTCCTTTCCAGCCAAGCAGTCTTCGCCATCTTTTTCGAACAATGCTCCACCAGAATAAGATTCGTCGAAGGAACAGCGTGAGCGCTCGCAGTATAGGGTTTGCTTTAAAAATAGCTGTCACAAATTTTCGAAGTAGGTGAAGAAGCTGTGCAAGCACTGAAGAGGTGGCCATAAGGAAACGAGAAGACGAGAATTTCGTAAGTCGTGAGGCCTTGAGGCAGCCTTAGGACATCCTTGGAGATTTCGAAAGGACCAGGGAGGACCAGGGTCGCCGCGTGCTGAGTCTTGACCTCAAGGTTAGCCGGCACAGCCACCTACTACCCTTGGCACCCAACACCCAAGTCGGTTTGGGGGGACCAGAGGGAAGCGCATTGCAGCCTCACCTTTGCATTGCCTGCTAAGAGGCTTCATATACACTATCTCAGACGTTTCACTGGACACTCTTGGCAGCCAGCTGCATGTATCCCGGCTTGATTCCGAGCTAACTTTGGACGAAACTGGTGTGGGCTGTCAGTGAACATTGAACCAGCAATGAACCAAATGACGTTGAAAATAGTTGGCACTTATTATCAGCTAGATAAAACAATAACCGGTGCGTGAGATTTTTGCTTCGAAGTTGTATAAATACAAGGCCTGGGAGCGTGCCTCCAGGATCTCTCTAATAACGCACCTCTCCTCTTACCTCATCAACTCGGAGGTCGAAGTATGTCGTCTAAACAGCTATTCTAAAATTGCGACAGACGCTGACATGTTGGCTAAGTAATGTCTAGTCAGGAGCAGCTGGAACATCGTAGCGAAAGGACAGACGCAAGTGTCCAAACTGCGAACTCAGTTGACGAGCCGCCCAAGACTCTGAATCATGCGGCAATCCAAACAGGTGCGTCTCCTTTCAACATATGAGTGAGGGCCTTAGTGATGTATCACAGGATCTGACAGCTCTCATCCCCCCGAGAAAACGCAAGATTCTTCCCCTCCTGAGGTAGAAGACGCTGAAAGCGACGATGATCTTCTTCCAACGTGGAAAGGGTACGTGTGCATGGAGGTTGTAAAGTCTATGCGTTTCTTTTACGAGCTATCTCAACATATTCTAGAGGGATGCCACGCGGAAAAGTTGCATCCCCGGTGAAAGGACCGCCGAAGGGCAAATAACCCGCTCTCACGACCACTGAGGTCAAAAAAAATGGCGCGCAAAAGAATTTCTTCGTTCGGGGAATCAGGATATTTCTCCAGTTAGACGATCGGTTTCTTACGACGCACGAGCTCATACGTAGTACTTAATTGAACGAGCACAATGGTATCCAGAGACCTACTTATGCCCTTGAGAGCCCTCACCTCTTCATAGATTTAAACATATGCGACGCTTATTAGACCATTTCGGCTTGCGCATGGGGTCTGGATACAAGTATTGCGTGATGCTGCACAGCAACGCCCAAACCAACATGCAAGTTAGGCGCTTAAATAATAGATGTTGGATTAGCAGTCGAGGTCCTTATTCGAGGCTGTGCGACTCCGAGTCTGAATAAAGATTCCATATCACCACAGCCAGCGGTTATGAGACGTATTTGACAAGTACAGCCTACGAGGCTTCATTGAGGCTTAAATGGACGGGCCTACTCAGATTAATTTAGGGATCAATCAGGCTATTCCTAGAACAACGGCGTGGTAGCCGCACCTTTTCACCGCGTCGAAAGAATGTTCATGAACCTGTCTTCCCCTTTTTATGAGTGCTCTCTGGAAGCCGAGTGTGTTCCGAGTGTGTTCCGAGCCAATTTTATATTGAGCGCTGTCGAAGGAAGCAGTCCTGGCGAACTAAGTCTAGCGCCCAGTGAGCCTTTTAGGTATATCATATACGATGCTGTGTAGACACAACAGGCTTAAAGCCTGGAAGTGTATAAGACCCAGCTACTTGTATACCTTCTCCTCTCTTTAAACGACCCTTCTGGCCATCAGGTAGAGAAACCGCGATGTATTCCTTCATTCCTTCCAGCACAAGCGCTGACGGATCTTGTTCTGATATTACAGTGTGTCGACGAATAACGGAGATGGACAAGATCCCGCAGTGGCTGCAGTGACACACTCGGAGGAAGATGCGCTCAAGATTGGCACCACCACTCCAGCAGGTATGTCGTAGAATTCCCAGTATTTCGAAAGAAAATCGTATTGATTCTCCACCCATAGCTTTGGATGATCAAGGCGGTTCCTCTAATGGTCATAAGATTGCCCAAGATATCGACGGTGCTGAGGGACATGGAGCTGACGAAGACACCGATGATAAATTTCCAATCTGGTAACAGTACGTACTTGGATTTACGCCTTCTGTGCCACGTCTTTTTATGAAACACGAACTCTCCTGGTAGTGGGATGCCGCGGGGAAAACTCACTTCCAATGTCGTTGCAAGGCCAGCAAAGCCAACAAAGCCACTAGTAAAGCCACCGAAACCAGCTGCCGCCAATCCACCCTCTGTTTCAAAATGAGGGATGAATGAGCCACACCTGGCAGAATCTTGTCCGGCATGCTCGCGCATCAGAAGTGAGACTTAATGGAGGTCCCTCTGCTGTTATCCCTATGCTTTGTATTTATTTCCCTCTTACAAGACAACGCCGCCCAGTACTCTGATTAGCCTAGTAAAACCATTAAACGACGCAGAAATTGGAAGCTGCTTGTCTTTCTGTTGATTCAATAGAGGGTTTGTGCAATCCACAGGAAAGCCACACCTGGCTTCTAGCCGTTGTGCAAATAACTTTTCCACCAAACCCATACTTCTTAGCTGTTTTCTTTGATTCTGGAGACGGATGAAGGTCCTTTGCAACTAATACCAATTCAAAAATAATCCATGCAGTTTCTGCTCCCTGGGGGTAACACGAACGCGGCTGACAATTTTTAAAGCCACGAGGCATCAACCACGCACACCTCGTTTTGCAACCGGAGTTGAAGGACTGCGGAAATTTCTGTGCTAGCAAGAGTATATACTAACGATACAACGCTATGGCAGAATTTAAAAGCCCATCAATTTAGCTCAACACTTGGGGCACAAAGTCCACGCCGTGGCTGGGTCGATTGCACAACAAAATTCGGCCACGGCGTGGGTAACAAGCGGCCCGTGGCTTTCCCGTGGATTGCACAAACCCTCTAATAGTCACGCCACTCAGTGGCTAAACTCCATCTTCAAAGACTCAAAAGAAAACCAAGAAAGCATGTTGAACAGCCCAATTATCACCAAGTTCGCCAGCAAAAGACAACTGTGGGGCCGGACTTTGTCGGTCTAACGATCAGCGATCGGCGGTCGCTACCGGCGTGTGCGCCACACTCCCCTACCATATCTGGAAATATCGCTCTCAAGAACAGCTGCAGCAAAGAGCAGGGAGAAAACAACGCCCAATAACAGCGCGCACTCTACTGGCTACCCACTTCATGACTAAAAGAGAACTTTCGCCAGCCGGCCGAAGTCCGGGATCCAATCAGGCAATCGCCGATCAAGGACCGCCTGATCAAACGTGCGATAAGGCCGGATTTGAATGAGACGCCCCAACTAGTACAACAACCACGAGGAACGCGGCACGGCACAGCCAGCGTTATAGCCCTCGACGAACAGAATTCCCTATCGAATCATCGCCAGTGCGGTGCGTTTCTTTTGGCCCTTCCACTCAACTTCCACTAGAGCAATTCTTACTCCATATCTTCGCGAACAGCAGTGCACCTTCAAGTCAGTGGCACACCGAGCCCAGCCGAGACACGGAGACCGAAGAATTCCTCATCAGCAACGGAATGGAGGCGTTTCCGGTTTCCGGTTTAATTGAGCACTAAGAGGTGGCAGTACTGCCGCGCACATGAGTCAGGTGGGGGAATAGACTTCTGTTAGGCGCCCATTACGCCGTCATAGGGCTCTAATGGCTATGCCTACGGCAGTGCGAACTTTGGTATAAAGTCCGTGCACGACTCACCCCACGTCCTCACCTATTTGCTTCTCAGAATCCACACCACCCACAACAACCTGGTACGACACCCTTTTGGTCCAATCCCTCGTACGAGATGAGTGCTAATGATTCGATGCAGTCACCATGTCCTCCAGCATCCCCTCCAACGAAAATAACCTGGAGAGTCAGGTTCAAGACAAGCCTGCTGCCGCTGTAATAGACACGGTAGAGGAGGTTGCACCGGACAAGCATCCGGCCCAGATACCAGGTTCGCACCTCGAATGACATCCACGACCTACAAAGCACTCACATCTCTCTTACAGAGCTCGTTGCTGATAAGAAACATGATGTAATCGACAAGTCCGACGAAGACGCCACTGGCAGCGAGGGCAACGACGAAGACAGTGACGACGACGCCTTCCCCGTGTGGAAGCAGTATGTGCCTCCACCTGTTGTGGAACTCCTAATGCTTCATGTCTGACCAATCTCTCTTTTCAGTGGATTGCCCCGCGGAAAGATCTCTTCCAATGTCAAAGGCGGGAATGGAACCAAAGGCGGCAGTGGTGGAATAAGACGGTGAACGAATACCCCCACTCCTTCCTTCCCATTATCAAGACCCCCGTCCGGCATTCTGTTTTCTTATTATCGTATTAATTTGTTCGAGATATTCTTAAACAGCTATGATACACAACCCTCATCGTCAGTCCCATCGTTTCTTCAGGGACATTTTTGAACTTCACTTCCGTCCTCACCGCCTTTCGACCTATCTCCTTCACTTTCAAGATTCATGTCCGCCATGCACTCATAATTATCACCTCCATTTCATGGACCCACCGATAAAGATACTGTGAAGTACACTCGTTGCGCCATTTGAACGTTAATAAGTTGTTACACGGCGGACGATTAAATGTCCAGTCGTGGTCTGAGCAGTCATTTGTCCAGATCACACGCCAGTCGTCGGCCAGTGTTCGGCACGCCTTCTGCCGATGAAATGCCGTCAGTTTAATTGTCCGCCATTGAACGTTGGACCTTCTTTCTCCAGGCTGCTCATGCGACGACAAGCCGAGGACGCGACGCACTCGACAGAACGGCCACTCTAGGTCTCAAATACTGCACGAACACGCACGAACCGACCTCATATCTGGTCTCATCTTTGCAGATTCCAGAGCCATCAAACGGCCTCATGCCCACCCTACTCGTGCGTGTCTTCCTCGTAAGTCGTGGCCGCTATCGCGCCTGTCATACACGGGCCATCGAGATCCCTCACAAGTTTTGACAACTCACCTTGTTCTCATAAAGGATTAACGGATGGATAATTTATCAATGAACCGATGCTGGCGACTACCCGTTGGTCGCGAGTGCAAGGGCAGCGCCAAAGTTGCTCGACAGCCTCCAGATACGCCAACTGTGAGCATTCGGCGCTCAGAAAGCTGTACATGTAACAGCCAACACAAGAATATCTCGAGAAGATTGACCACTGCCGTCCTCTATTGTTCTGTGCAAGGTGAGGAAGTCGTCTGACTGAAATGTGTGATCGTAGCCTCAGATTCAGACTCAGAGCCACCGATCCGAGGTTCAACTTCTTGATCAGTGTCCTAGTCGACTTCGCATTTAGAACAATGAGCTGAATATTTTTGTCGTCCAGCAAGAAGATTTTCACCACCTCCGACTTCTCGTGGCGATACCGCTGCTGCATCCAACAGTGCACTACCCAGCCTCCTTTGTACCAATTCACGAGTTGTCCCCTCCAATATCTTTTGCGATCGAGTATATAAACAAGGCCAAGAGTCACTCCACGTCCTCACCAACCCGACGCGACTCTACTCAACCGAGGTATGTCTGACCCTCTATTACACGACATGAGCGCTAACAGCCTGATGATAGCAACCATGTCCTCCAATGAATCCACGCCCTCTCCCACCATGGCTTCCACCTCTCTTACAGAGACTATTCCGATGCGTGTGCCGCAAACTGTCCCTAGCGAATCTGTGCAGAACGTCGAAGAAGAGGCCGTCAAGGCCTCTATTCCTGGTTCGCGATCCAATTCTTGACACTTATTATCCCCGGCTAACGCGCGCTGACAGAGGCTTCAAGCGGGAGAAATGACGGATCTGTCAACAAGGTGAAAGAAGAGGTCACCGATGAAGACGAAGACGAGAGTGAGAGTGAGAGTGAGAGTGAGAGTGATGATGAGCCTCCAGTCTGGAAAGGGTACACATCTCAACCCTCTAGCATTCAACTGATACTCATTCGCTGCACTCGTAGGGGTATGGCACGTGGGAGGATCATTAGGCCCACCAGAGAAAGCGTCGGTGCAAAGCCCGGGGCAACCGTGAAGGGAGGAAATGGAGATGGCACCAATAAGCCTCCGAAAGGATCCTAGGACTGATATCGTCTTCCCCTCCTCTTCGTTTCCACTGCCGCAACGACCTCTTGCTTTTCTCGTGATTAGACGACTTATCTCAAGTTAGTCGAACTGGACTGGTTACAAGTGCTCATTATAGCCCCCATCATCCTTGCTTTGTGATCTGTGTACTATAGCATACTTCCTTTCTTCTATTCCATTCCCGCTTATCTATTTGACCACAGCGTCTGTCCCAATAACTTTTACAAGAGGCACATTACCATGGTGCCACGCGAAACGTGGGCGCATACTCATTTTTCCGTCACGAACGTGCCTCTATCAGGGTACACGAATGCAGAGACAACATTAATGTTGCTTGCATTAGGAGCCCCGTCGGGCTCCTGTCTTGTCTTGTCAGCCATTTAGAAGGTGTCGCTCGCATCCAGGGGCCTTAGTCACCCAATACGTGCTCGGTTTCATCATTGCTCCGACCAGCTCCTCAGCGCCCTGCAGTTTAGCGCCGAAAAAGATAGCAGAATGTGCTTCTAGAACCGAGAGGCTCGGACATTCCGGTTCGGCCACATAGCCACTTATAAAGTCTCGCACTGTGCGCATCCCTTCATCAATCATTCACGCTCCACACAATCCCAACCTCGCTACTGCACGTCCATACCAGAATTTCATTTTCTAAGTACGTCCTAAGCGCCTATCTTCCTTCCATTCCCGCAGAAACGCCTAACTATGTCCACTCTAAGATTACGATGTCCCAAGACCCGGAGGCCCAAACCACCGACTCGGAGAGTCACCCAGCGGTGCTGTCGACCCAGTCAGACGCTGCCACTAGTACAAGCCGTCCTACTGATCAAGGTCGTTGTTTTATGGTTCTCATCAAGTTTGTCCTGTAGTTTGACGAGACACGCAGCAGTTATCACCCCCGAAGACAACATAGACAAGAAAGAGGATGCTGGACCGGAAGGCGAGGCTAGTGACGAAGAACCTCCTGTCTGGACTGGGTATGTGATATAACTGGCGAGCCACTGAATAATTAAACTGTCTTCGCAGAGGCCTGCCCCGCGCGCAGCTCAAGCCTAATGTGAAGGGCGGCAGCAGTATCAAGAAGCCTCCTAGGAAAGACGGAGATCAAGGCAAAGAAGCTTGAAGCAGAAGAGCGCCCACTGGACAAATATGCCTCCCATATGAAAACTATTCTCTACTTGTATTTTATAGCACCAGTCGCGGCCAATCCTTTGTATCCTCTGTCGCAAAACAATGCCGGGACTCTGGCAAGTGTTTGATCGGCAGCTTTACCTACTAAACATTCGCCCGACGCCAAGCATGCGCCACTTCCCATTTATAGATATCGTGCGCTTGCAGGTGAGGCCCGCCTCTTCGCACTCATAGTACCACCTTGAAGCGCAAACGCCCAATAGTAGACGCGCTCATGAAGAAGAGACAGAACTTCGCCTGATGGTCAAGGCTTCATCACCGCCACCGCTTATCTCCATGTGCTCCCTTGATTCTTGATAGTTCTGCTCCCACGCTGGTTGAATGAGCGTCTACATACAATCGGGGTTCAGAACAGCCGGTATCAATGGAATTCAGTCAGATGACAAATTTGACGGATGCCGCCCATAATACATAGTCTCGTGGACTTTGGCAGACGCTCGCCCTAGACCTCTTGCTGACCTCCAATTCAAGGTACTTTGCAGCTGTGCCCAGATTGCCAAATATATATATACTGACGGCTACGCATTCCACTTGAGCCTGCGTCAGCCATGTCCACCGTAGAGCCGGCAGAAATATCAGGGGCAGTGGAAAAGACTCAAGCCAGGACAAACCCGCCTGGATCTCCGGACGATAAGCATCCTCCTACCGCAGGTCCGTAAAATTTTGTCGTCTTCAAGTAGAAGCTCGCTAATGATCCCACATTCAACCATCTAGAGGTTGACGTTGATCGCGTATCAAGCCTCTCAGAAGACCAGGACAGCTCCGAAGCGGAGAGTTCGGATGATCCAGATATGCCTGTGTGGACGGGGTACGTTGGCTCTACCAGCGGTTTGGGTGATCAGAGGTCTGATGCATGCACATCACAGGGGAAAATGGAGAGCACAAATTAAGAGCAAAGTTGTAGGGAACAAGGAACCCAAGAAGGAGCCTAAAGCCAAGGAGCCCAAGACAAGTGACCCAAAAAAGACGGCCAACGATCCTAAGAAGTCTTCCTCTAGCTCCGGGAGATAGATACAAGGTCAATCTAGAGGTATAAAGCTCGCAGCCCGATATCGCATCCCAGGAGACGCGTTCTTGGGCGCTAAAGCCATAGCTTCGAGAAATGACCGAGTACCTCCTCCCGCTCACCACGGGGACAACGTTTACCTCACGAGTAAACATAATACCCGAAGCACATCCTATAATTGTAGATGTTATTACGTCGGAGCTCTGTCAAAGTTGGCAGCCTTGCTTACAGACCCGATGTTATTAAGCGCTCAACGACAACGAAGGGTTAATAACGGAAGGGATGAGGTGATGCTTCTATGCGTGACTGTCGGACAGCCTTCAGAAGTACGCCACAAAGAGCGATGACATGCAGTGTATATAAGCTACGAAGGACGCCTGGGTAGTAATCACGACCCGAAAATCCAACAAGATTATGTCCCAGACAGAAATACCTACAGAACAGACTACCACCATAGCCACGGGTTATGTAGTAGGTGGTGGTAATGTTGATGATAAAGGCTCAACCACCGCTGTCGTCTCTGTGGAGGAGACCAGAACGACCACAGCAATCTCGGCCTCTGTCGCCACCGCTCCTGGTTGATCTATTCCAATTTATGTTCAATGCCGGGAAGCTAACGCCTCTTTTCCAGAGAAAACTACCATAATCGACGACTCTATGTACGGCAAGGAAGAAAGCGATTCAGACGACGAAGCACCACCTACTTGGGACGGGTAATTTGGAGCGCTTCTTCCCTCATCACCCGTATCTGACTACACGGCAGTGGATTGCCTCGCGCCAAAATTAGGGCACCTACGGTAGGCGGTGACAAGAAAGACGACAAAAAAGGTGGAAAAGACGAAAAGAAGGACAATCAAGGCGGTAAGAACGACGAAGGCAGCCAAACGGTCTCAAGTGGCAAGAACTCACAGACAACATGAAATCAACGTAGACCGTCTACGCAAAAATAGTTAGTAGATGCAACGTCGTAATTGACAATGTGCCAGCGACCTTACATAAAGTGGTGTGAACAGGAATGAATGTAGAGCACAGACCTGGGCTCGCATCATTACCAAACAAATCGATCATTTGCTCGATTGGTTTATTCAGCCTGTGCAGACGTTGAGAGATCGGGGCGGTGCCAGAGAAGTCGATGAACAGCTAAAAGTCTTTTGCAGGTTAGTGAGAATAACCTCGCCAAATCAAGCCCAAAGGAATACTGTGAATGGCCTGAGTAGGGAGACGTGAAGTATAAAGCCCTACGGAGGCGTTCCATACCGAACTCCAGCCTCACGATGCCCGGCGCCTCAGACATAACCGTCATACAGACCACCACCACAGTGACCACAGCCGACGTGGTTGAAGCTGCCACTGTCGACGAGAAACGCCCGAATGTGGTTGGCGGCGCTGTCTTCACATCTGAGACCACGACAATTGTGGCCACCTCGGCACTGGTCGAGATACCTGGTTCGTCTGTAAAAGTGTCGGCCGAACACCAAGACGCTGATGCATCATCGATCGCCCTTAGAGCAGACCACCCCTATTAGTGGCCCAAATTCTGACGAAGGAGAAAGCGATGACGAAGAGCCAGTCTGGCTGGGGTAAGCGAAGCAGCCTCGTATGCCTACATGCACTAAAACCCATCAATGTAAACTGCAGCGGAATGCCTCGAGGTAAATTGGCCCAGAATGCAGTGGGCCCAAGAAGCAATAAGAAGGGCGACAAGAAAGACGACAAGAAAGACGATAAGAAGGGCGACAAGAGGGACGACAAGAAAGGAGCATCCGGGAAGGGTTCGAATAAGTGAGGGGAGTGAGCCTCCCCGGAACTTGCCAACTCCCTTGGTTTCCCGTACTTCGGCTAGCTGTTACAGTGTTTCAATAATATGACTGTGATTTATGATCATTTACCTCAGAATCTTTATCTTCCTCTCCATTGTCTCCCTGTTCGTCCTATCGATGTCGACGACCTCACAGCAGGGGCCCATGTCAAAGCCACCTGCCACTGCGGCTTGAAGCTTCAAGTCGCATTCAGCTCTCTTCCCCCTCGCAGCGAGCATCTGTCACTGCCATACGTGCCAATTTAACACAGGGCGAAGGTGCACACGCTGGGGCCGAATCGTATCAGTGCCGTTATCCTTGGACAGCAAGTCGCGCGAGGGACAAGCGGCCACAGCCAGTTTACAGCACCTCCTAGAATGATCGGAACAGTCATAGAGGTACGTCTGTTCTAGATGTTCGGCTTGCAAGTTGAGCAGAAGCGCCCTGGATGAAGGAGAACAATGGTTCGTATCAGGAGCGGCCCTCGAAAAGGTCGAAGCGATTGTGCCAGTGGGATATCATGCCTTGCTCGAAGCGTTCGATAGCAGCATCGCTAATCACCATCACATCCTCAGTGGCGCTGAATTGACGCGCGACAAAGGGAGTGAAAGCAGTGGATGAATGGACGCCCATTGGAGGGTCCATAACGTTATCAAGTGCAGGAACGCCCTGTCGATACGAATGACATCCTGTCTGCCTCCTGCCATTACAAATCATCACTGGCAGACTTACGTTGACCCATGGAACTAATGTCACCGATTCCGAGAAGAAATGGCGGCTCGTCCCACCAAAGAGTGTGAAAGAACTCCTCCGGTATCTTCCAGTGGATCAATCACCCAAAGTTGGGTGTACATTCCACGGGTCAACATCCTATTAGTATAATGCTCGTACGTCGAAGCCCGTCGTCCTCGTGTCCAAGGACGACGAGACCAGGATGATCGGGCTCTGCAATACGAGTCGACTCCTGGCATATTCAGGGAGTCTTGTGTTCTTCTGGAAGATTAACAGAGAAGGTGATGTGCTAGATGTGGAGCCAGGATTGTTGGATGAATCGCAGGAAGGTGTAAGGGCGGAAAGATGGCTCGCATGGGGTCGAGAGGTCGAAGCACCCGAGGACAGAATAGACCATACTGAGCTCGCAGCGTTCGATTGACTAGGAAGATCTTTACTAAAAATTAGAGAGGATTGTAAGTGTTCCTGCAGTTGAGACTACAAAATGCTTATTGTTCCCCCAGGAGCAATGATCTAACCTGTTTACCGGTAATTGAGTTAGTGTTGCGACCGTGAGCAAAAGGCGATGATGTCTCACCAGAGTAGCTAGATACAAGCTTTGTGTTCTGCGCCTCAAAGCATACATAAATAGCACTGGAATGAGTAGTAAAATGCTCAAAAGGAGTGAAGAATCAAGCGAAGATAGGGTTGTCAGTCTGACGGTCTGTGAGCCTCGTGCACCGCCGAGGGTGTAAAATGCAGCACTTGTCAACAGCCTCGAGGTAATGCAGCTCTCCATGGGGTACAAATACTTAGGCGCTCGCCCAATTCAAATCAAACCCAATTACAACCTACCCATTTACAACCAACTCGAGGTGCTGCTCACGCATTGAGCTAAACCTTGTTGACGGAAATTTTCACAGCTAACCGAATCACTCCAATGGCCAACGTTGAAGTCGCCACCAATAGGGAACCCGTCCAGATGTCTGACGGGACTCCAGATCTGAAGAACGAAGCACAGTCAGGCTCGCTGACCGCCGCCGCCATGATGATCGTGGAGGGTGTCGCGATCGCTCAGCAGGCATCTAAGGAGGCAGCCATCTTCGTTCCTGTTCCAGGTTCGTCAGTATTTGTCAGGATGCCAGAGCACCAATGGACTTACGTGATATTGTCAGAAATGGCCGTTCCAGCCAAAGCAGCGAACGAGTCCGAGAGCGAGACTACCAAGAGCGAGGAAGAAAGCGAGGAAGAAAGCGATAGCGATATCGATTTCCCTCAGTGGAATGGGTGCGTGTTCTGCAAGTTGATATACTTCGCTGGAATCACTAATGTCCGTCGAAGACCGAGGCCGCGTGGAAAGCCGGTTACGAAGGTTAGCGGGAGGAAAGACGACAAAAAGGAGAAGGAGAAAAAAGAGAAAGAGAGGAAGGAGAAAGAGAAAGAGGAGAGGGCGAGGAAAGAGAAAGAGGAAAGGGAAAGGAAGGAGAAGGAGAAGAGGGACAAACAGGCCAAGTCTGCCCGCATGTCTGCCTCCAACGAGAGCGACGCTGTTATAATCTCGCATGACTAGCCCACGTAGGCTGAACGAATGTTAGAACGTGCATTCGTTCTTGATACGCTGTACTTCTATCGTATTCTTTCTTGAATACACATCGGCTATCGACCATTGAGCATCGAACGCCACTTGAAGTAAAACCGGATTTCCAAAAGTGCATATAATTCAATGAGTTGGGGTAAAGCAACAGAGGACACACCCGAATCTCAAATGCGCAACACCTCAGCCCCTCCGCCGCGCCTTCGGTGCCCAACTCTCCGTCTCCGATGTTGTCAACGAGGACACTGCAGCCCATGGGTCTACAGGTTTCTGTGGAGGCGCAACCTGAGGTTCTTCCTTCGCCTTCACTTGTGCCGGGTGTTTCGTTTCTGAAACAGTAGCCGCAGGTTCGGGCTCGTCGAGTGTTGGCAGTGAGAATAGTTTCTTCGTCTTTGGCTTCCGCGGCGCTGCAGGTGTGAGGAACGTCGGAGGTCGTACTTTTGGCTTGCCTTCCGCAGATGGTGGTATTGGTATAATTTGCTGACTTTGTGCTGCTTGCGAAGCTCCCTGCGGCTGCGCCTGTTGGCTTGCCTGTGTTGTAGGTTCGCTCGCCAACGTTCGCGAAGTCGACTCTACGACCTCCGGCTGCTGCGTAGGCTCCCCTAACCTTCTCTCGCCCTGCCTCGCCGCGTCCTCCAACGCCCTCTTCGCATCTTCCTGTCGTATCCGACGCATCTCTTCCGCCTCAGCTCGATCCCGGGCCTCTATCCGCGCCACGTTCTCCGCGAGTCGTTGCATGCGTGTTGAGTCTACTTGGAGCTCCTGTAAAACCAGCAATGAAGTCAACCATTGGCGCGCTTTGAGGAGTCAGAAGACGAACCTGGATGGTAGGTGGGTTCCGCCGCGTATGTGTGAGCCAAGCAGACCATTGAACTGTTTGAACATTAAAGCCGAACACTCATCGAGAGACCACGGGTGAAATTACTCACTTGGTAGCCTCTTCCCTCCGCCAATGTACTGCCACGAATTCTCCGGGTCATGGTACTCGATGGTTCTTCTTGGACGGTTTGGGTCTTCAAGATGGATGTCAAAATACCAGAACCTCTGGCATGAAGAATGGGTGCACCTATTAGCGACCGCGACTCGTAGAACCGATTTCCTTTAAAACACACGAGCGATTAGGCATGAGACTTTGCCTGCGTGAGGAGATCACACCTTCAAGGTCTCTTCCAACAAACCTAACCTAAAACGCATTAAACTAATGAGCCTTGAGCTCGAGATGAACAGGAAAAGAGTAGTCAGCCGCTTACGGCTGGATTTTTGACTGTGTTCCATATTCTTGAGAGGAATGACATGGTTTGCGGAGGGTTGAGGAACGAAGTATAAAAAATGAGTGTACAGTAGATTATTTGGCAGGAACAAAGAGCATCGTTGGTGGTCACCTTAGCCGTTACGTCAGCTCTGGGCACCAATCAGAGCTCTCGAGAATCTAAGGCAAGGTCCTCGAATAAATCGGCAAAGACAACAAAAGAAAAAAGAACGACAGGAATGGAAAGCGAGGATCGTATTGAGCCGAAAAAAGGGGTGTACAAGTGGACAGAATCAGAAATCGGGTCCAAGGTCCTCGTCGTCCAACTCCCCATCCTGGATCTCCTTGGCCAGCTCTTTCTCTCTTTCTCTCGCACCCTCAGCTGCGGCGAGCTCTTTGCGATGTGCGTTGAGTGGGTACCGCATGGCCTTTTGAAAAATAAAATATCAGCGCCTCACCAAGAATCGTATACACAAAAACCAAAAACCAACCTTTACACTCTGATTATGCAAATCCAGACAAAACGATATCCTCCGTCCAAGCTCTGCACTGACTTCCGGCCCATAACCGCTCTTCTGCGATCCACACTCCATCCAGCCCTTTTCATGCACGATGCGGCCCTCAATGACCCCGTCCCGAATGGCCTTGCCCACGATATACTCGGCGTCCTCCTCCGTGTCGAGATGGAGCTTGACACAGATGTCGCGCAGGGAGATGCGCGAGTACGAGAGCGAAAGCCGGCGGATGCCGGTCTTGATGACGTTTTGGCGCAGGCGGATGATCATGGTGTAGGTGTTGTCCGCTGCGAACTGCGCCGCGTGTTTGGAGAGGGTTGCTTGGAATTGTGAGAGGGAGCCGGTTCGGACGGCTATGATAATTGCAGGTTAGTAATAAGCTGCATCAGAGAATGACGGCTGTCCTACCTTTGACGATCTCGAAGTACGCGGTCAAAGCTTTCTGCAGCACGACGTGCCGGAAAAGACTTCGATCTGGGATATCACCCATCAGCAGCTCAACGACCACGAGGTACTTGTGTACCGCCTGGTAGAACCCAGGTGCCGTCTTCGCCGGGGGTGCCCTCCGGATAGCCTGCTGTAAGTCGTCGTGTGCATCAGTGTAATTGAGCTGCACAGCGCGGATCCGACCGAGGTAGTAATGGTATCGGGCGAACTGGGCATTGCTCGCAGAGGGAGGGAAGGTGGTTTTGGAGACAAGCTTGTCGGCTTGGTCGTAGATGTTGTATTTGATGTAGCTTCGGAGAAGGCAGTTGAGGAGTGCGGCTTGGGCTTCATCGTCGTGTCGGAGCGATGCAGTTCGCTGCGCTGCGAGGAACAGTCTATAAAATCGTGGTTGATATTCTCGTTCTATTAAAGCAGAAGTGGCTTGAGACTTACGGCCTTGCGTCGGATACCTCTGCAGCCAGTTCGTATGCACGATCTACAGCAAACCAGATCTTCGCAGCAATGGGGTCCATGCTACGACGATTGAGAGCCTGCATCTTCGCAACTGTCTGCTGGGCCAATTCCAATGCCTTTTCATGGGTGTCCTCTGACTTAAGAAGATGATGGAGGATTAGGAGACGGAGGTACATCTCGGCTTCAGGTACGAGTTCGGAGGTTGGTGTTTTGGCAGGTGGGGTAGAGTCCACGTCCATAGAGACATCACCAGATGCAGGAGCGGGAGGTAACCATAAAAGTAGTGTCTTCTTCACTGCGCTATCTACAAATCGTTCAATCATACATTCAGTCAAGGGTTCGAGAAGGAGCAAAACGAGAACATACCTTTGGGATATATGCCTTCGATGGCATTTCTAAGTACCGAATCATCTATCCGTTTACGCAGCGCCGTCAGCGTCCGTAGAACGCGATGAGTGAATCGGGGCTCGAGAGTGGTGACTGCACGGTCAATGAGTGCGGCATTGTTCTTAACTTCCGTTGTAGGAGGTATGGGTTCTGGTTTGTTCTCCTCCTTCTTGTCGTCCTTCTTATCTTCTTTCTTGTCTTTGTCTTCCGATGATTTCGCGTCCGTGGATTTCATTTCGACGTCGGGCATCGTGTGTAGATGGCAGATGGTGGAAGGAGTTTGAGTTTGGGGTGACGCGTCGCGTCTGATCAAGTGAGGCATACGTCATCCTCTGTTTGTATTTACCATAAGTTGCAAGTATCACAGGGTCTCGATAGCTAAGTGGTATAGCATGCGATTGCAGTCAATCGACTTATCGCAGGGTCCGGTGTTCGAACCACCGTCGGGACTAGTTGATTTTTTGATCTTATTCCTGGTATTTTTGCTCCATCTTCCCAATAGTAAGTATAGAGCATGCAATTGCAGTAGTTGTCCAGATATCAGTTTCGGGGCTCAGGAAGCTGTCGGGACTCTGAATGACCCTGACCGTTGCACATTTTATGAGACTCGTCGGGGATGCCTATCTAGGTAACCGCGCCAGTGCTTACTGTGGAGGGTGATGCCAAATACTCGGAGGCAATTCGATATCGTGGCACAAGTTCACAACACGTCGCCAACTCTTTCCTCACTCTCCCTCACGATGCTCGCGTTCTTCTCAGCATTTCTACTTGCGTTGTCGGTGCAGGCGTCTGTGCTGACCCTGCAGTCCCCTCGTTTTACTGTTTCAGACTCTACAGGCTCCCAGCTACGCTCAGAACCGTACGTGTTTATGTCATTGAGATGCTGCAGCTTCTTTTAACTCATTTGTTTTAATCCAGTATATCTCTTGCATACAAAGCATCAACTCCAGTGCAATTGGGGCCCAAGGACACTCTCAGATTGACTTTCCAAATCGTGGACAAGGAGACGGGCAAGGGCTTCCAGCCACACCAAACATTCCTTCGCTTCTACGACGAGAAGGCTGATGAGGAGGGTATCCAGCCCGTGCGTGTCACCCCGGGGGGGAAAGTGAAGTTCGACCTGGTGCGCACAGCCCTCTCTTCTCTCACGTCGTCATAAAGCAAGCCACTAACACCACCTGCGATCTTATAGAATCTCTCCAAACCCCCACTCTCGCTCCCACCCACACCCAACAGCGACCCGCTGCGCGTCACGCTCATCATTGGATCCTCGCAGTATGATCCTGTGTCCGTGGAGCTGTTCGACCTCATTCTTCCGCGGTCCCAGCCTGCCCCCGTGAATCCGCTTGAAGCAAGCTTCCACCCCCAGCCCGAGATTCAGCATACCTTCCGTCCAGAGCACAAACTTCCGCCTCGGCCTATCTCGGCCGCCTTCGCCCTCATCGTCCTCGGGCCATGGGCTGTCCTGCTCGGTTTGGTGGGTTTACGTTCTCCCTTGCCCGTCCCGTTGACACCTGTGCTAACCTTCGCTCATTTTTTTTTCTCTATTCACTTGCCAACTCGTTGGGGTTGTGGCAGTGGTCTCAAGTTGCCCCGACCCCGTCGCGACTTTTCTCGCCGTCCATTCTTCCGTTCATCCTATCCCTTGGGGCATTCGAGAGCCTTTTATTCTGGTACTGGATAGACCTCAAGCTAGGACAGGTGCTTCTGTATGGCGCCCTTCTGACGATACCCACCGTCCTCGCCGGAAAGCAGGCGCTTAGCAGCATTGGCAAACAACGCATTGGGAGAAAATAGTTGATGGAGTCCGGTGTACTATGGCGCTGTAAAATGATCAATGAGAATGATCCCTCCTCGAACGAACTGTATACTGAAGGCTCAAGATGTCCTGAAGATCCTGAGTGTATGACTCTTTGGTTTCTATTGTTAACCCGCTGTAGGTCCCTTTGATGTTGAGAACTGTCCGTCCTGCCCTCTATCGGCTATATCGGCTTGGCAAATGTAATTCTCGGATTGGATGCTCGCAAAAGGTGTGCTCTCGTCGTGTCTTCCTTTCCCCCTTTTACTGAATGGTGTGTATATGTGTCAAAGTGTACGCTAGCCAGCTCGTAATCTTGAGCCTCTCACAGTTATAGATGCACTTCCCTATCGACGACTTTATACCAGCGGGTCGGACACTAACCCCATTCTGGGCTGTGCAGTGCAATTATAACCCTAATACCGTGTCATGCACGAGGCCAGCTCACAGGCCTACATCCATACGAACCTTGACAGACAGCTTCCCAAGTACAGGCACCGTGTTATAAACCTCGGGGCCCTCACTTTTTCCCAGCCTTCTGCTTAAGAGCTTCTCCTGGCCCCCAACCTGCGCTGTGCACACCATGGAACGCCTTTATATCCCCATCCACTTCATCGTATTCTTCTTCAAGCCGGTCAACTTAGGTTGCAAGGCGTACGACACTATCGTTCTATGCGTTCGGTTCATTCGACCATTGCTCATCCCGCTCGAATACCTCGCAGCCAAGTTTTCGGGGGAGGCCAGCCGGCAGAAGGCTCTTGGGCATCCAAATCCAAATCCTCTCCACCTAGTAATCGACGTAAAAGAGGATGTCAACGGCACTACCTACGACAGGGCTGTGCGCAAATACCTCGCCGGAGGGCCTCCGTCGTGCCTTTCTGGACAACCCCACGGTGCACAAGCCAACACGGATCAAGGGAACGCCAAACCAGAAACTGCAACTGAACCAGAAACGGAATCTCAACCAGAGCTGACGCAGATAGGTCAATCAACGAAGTGTGTGCCTGTCTCCGGCGGCGAAGTCATCGCAATGTATCACAACGCCCATGCCTTCTTAGGCCTTCCCGAACCCTATATGCACTCGAGTACCGGGGGTAATCCAGCTGCTGCGCGAAGCTGTAGCGTTCTTCCCAACGTCACGGCCGCACATTCGCAGCTGGGCTTGCATACCACTTTATTCTCGTCGCCTGTTGCAACGAGATCATCGATCAGCGTCAACCGCCACCGCAAGAGTCTCATCACTGGCGGCGGGAATCCTAGCACACAAATCATATATGCTTCAAGTTCTACGCCCAATCTCCATATTCAACCCGGTGTCGCACAGCGCGAGATGCATACACTTGTTACTCATCCTCAGCATCATCAGATGGGGCGTTTGTCCGTACCAACTCGAGAGACTCGGAGGAGCACTGAGCAGGGATACTCAGTGTCTGATTCTGATGAGAACGGCCCAGCTGCGATTATCCACGATGAGAACGATGACGACGACAATAGAAGCTACAGCCAAACTGCCGTCATCTCTATCCACTCTCCTAGCACCAGCACTCTTCGAACTACTTTAGGTACTGATGATGACGGGCCCTTCCTCGCGGACCCACGAATTACGCCCGTCATGCCGGAGAGTACCCAGCGATATTCGAAACGAGGAGTTATATCACGCGAACATACGAACATTTCTATTGCTCCTTTGACACTGGCTTTTCGCGAGTATGTTTCTGTTTGTTCTTAGAACAAGAAAGAAGTGCTGATGGTGTCTGGTTTGTTTTTAGACCTGTTGCTCCATCTGGCTGGGTCAAGATGGTCCATCCAGAAGGTGGAAGATACTACTACCATCCAGAAAAGGTATGTTTTCCCTTTGGTGTCCTCCTGATAACTTCATGTTAACATGAACTGAACAGTGCGTGTACACGGATGCTGATCTGCTCGACGGCCGAATTCTAGTCCAGTTAATTGAGGACTTGGAGACAATTCAACAATTCATTTTGAACCACAATCTATCCTTGCCTGAGGGCTGCCATCTTGTTGTTGACCTCTCCTATGAGCTTGATGAGATCAAAACCACCTACTTCTTTGTTGACCATCACACACGGTCAATTTTCTTCTTGGACATCTTTGAAGCTCAGAATCTCTCCGGCTGGTATGAAGCCCCTGGTAGTACTTCTCAAAGTCATCTGCGTAAGAGGGTCTCTCAGTACATTCAGGCACTAGACTCAGTGCATTTTTGTTGTTTCAGGCTTGGAGATAGAAGCACAATACTGGTAAGAAGAAAGGGTTTTCCCTCCAAATTACCTTTCTTCAATCAGAAGCAACTTCTAGGTTTTTTGTCCAGCTCTATCCTGACAGTCTGTCCTTGTCTTTGGCACTAATTTGCGAGCTGCGTGATATAGTGATGCACTATGTTGGAGGTACCAAACAGCCTTTATACAGTCCCACTGGCACCACTAATTCAGTATCCTCTCTTTAAACAACATTCTCTTGTAGATGTGATGACGTCTCCATCCTCGACTACGCCATTTTCTGCAGACAAACTTGACAAAATCCTCTCCCATACCAATATGATGGAAGGTCAGAATATGGGTTTTCATACTCCGAAACTGTCTAATGCAATTTCTAACATTAGGAAATGTGGGTCCTGGTTTGGCTGCCGTCGGCAACATGAGCTGCCTTGGTATGTACGAAACTTCTCGAATAGAGAGTCATGATGCTTACACAACGCAGCACGATATTTCTACCTGTTCAGTGAGTTCATCCCATCTGTTTTGTCTACGTTCGGGGAATGAATTTCCGAAGGTCACACCAAGTTCATCCACTTCGCGGGAGAGCCAAATGCTCGTCTAGACCGGAACACCTCCGCATATGGAGAACATACACAATCTCGCACCTGGTTCATCAAGATAGCTTCATCTCTGCTCTTCTATGGACCCGATTACTATCTCCAGACCATCCAAAGCATCTGGGTTGATAGGATATGCCATAAGAATGAATGGGATGTCGTTATCTCTAAGGTAAACGAGGAGTGGAAAGAAGTTGTGTTATTCGTAAGTTATTTCTACTTCCCGCGAACGGATCTGATGTTCAACTTGTGCTCCTGGGCCCACCATCCTTCATGCAGTCTGTCATTTTACTGAATGCGAATGGGGTCTTCATCTCCACCCAAGATGTACATGTCTCTACAACCGCAAGGGACGTTGGCTACATTTCAGTGGCGGCGTCGATTGGAAGCCTTGCGGCAGCCCTCCTCCTGACGACCAAAACTCGCAGGAATAATCTAAGGGCAGCAGAGGATGTGGTTCGTAGACACCGCCTGGTTCGCATGGCACCCCTTCTGAAATTAAGTCTTGTAGCAATCCTTCCTGTCAGCAAACAACAACACACGATTTGGCCTTGAAGCACTCTCTACAATATGCGCCCTTCCACACGCACTTTTGACATGGGGGTCAGTGTTCCTAGCTTTGGCCTCGTCTATATGTGTTAGGCTAACATCCCATCCTGAATCCTCGCTTCCAGAATCTTGACATTCGGCGCGGCATTTTGCGTCGCTTGCTTGCAACCCAGCGATACGCTGACCCGCTCTCTTCTTGCACCTTTTTTGGGGGTTGTTGCGTTATTCCTTGGATGGATTGTCTGGACAGTTTGGGAGACAGGGGTTGGGACAGAGAGTCAAAGCCAGGATCTCGTCGGTTCAAAAAGATGGATTTTCCGAATCGCTATGGGATGGGAAAAAATATTTCGGGGGCGACTGAAAAGGCGTCAAAATGGAAACGAAACAGTTGTCTGATTTCTGACCGTCGTAGTTTTGTAGAACCGATAAATAATTATTCCTTCTACGACTCAAGTACTGTAGTAATTCAATCAATTCGTCAGTGGGTGTGACCTGTGACCTGCCTGACGAAATTTTGGTTTCGTCAAACTACTATATATGGAAGGCCTTGGCAACGTTTGTAAGCCAGTTTTGGTCCCACGGGGCCCTTTCTGAGGACTTTTTGGCGATTTTGGCGTGACCATTGTGACTTTTCGTCGATTTGGGAGGGCCTGTGACCTGTGACCGCCGAATTGATTGAATTACTACAGTACTCATCGATCCGTGAGGGTGACCAATATGGCTTGGCGGTCATGCACATGACGGTGACATCATAGATTAGGGCCCGACCAGACAATCACGGCACTATTCTTGACTTGAACTACCATGGATCCTGAAAACACCACCATGGCGGATGCACACGACGACGAGCAATACGTTCTGGAGGCCTCCAACCCTAAATCTCGTTCCATTTTTCGCCACATGCCCGCAGCCCAGGAGCGAGAGTTGAACAACGCGAACCACAGTGAGAGCAACCACTTCACGGTTTTTCGCCTCTGATAGCAGGCCATCACGCAGGCGAGTGGGAATGGGAGGATGACTTCTGGACTGCCCTTGTTGACAACAACCCTTGGGTGCAACTCAAGAACCAATGGGCCCAAACCCCCGAAAATGAGATACCTAACGTTATCAAGACGCCACCGAGATTTAAACCAACGCTTAGCTTCCTTGTTCGGGACTCATACAAGGAGCTCTTCGACCGTATATGGTATCGCGGCTTCGCACATCCTAGGACTGGAGTGTTGATAACAGGCCAACCCGGCATCGGTACGTGAATTATGACCATGACAAAGAAAGAGATACTGACATAGTACAGGTAAAACCACATTCTTGTGGTATACCCTCATCCGCCTTCTGAACAGGCGACAGCCTGTTCTTTTCGTGCGGAATTGGCATTTAATCCTCTTTTTCCATGATGGCGTCTTCACTACCCCTCGAAGCAATCTGGGAAGGGCCTGTTTACCCACTCCCCCCGCCGACGAAGCCGACGAAGGACGCTGTCGTGCATTCATCTGGACTCTTTTAGAACTTGATGGTGCTCAAGGAGAGCCTGAGACGTCCCTCTTAGAGGACCCCTGTTTCCCTGTTCAAGCATCGTCGCCCAATCCCAAGAGGTATTCGAAATGGGTGCGAGTCAGCAATGCTGCCAAGTGGGGTTTACCTCTGTGGGATAAGGTTGAATTAATGCAAGGGTGAGCAATGATTTCAGCCATGTACATGGCTGACATGTCTTCGTTTTAGACTTGAACTGCAGCAGAGGCTGTATCAGTTCCAGCGGAACTTCGAGCCATACCTCCCAATATCTCCCAAGAATATACCACTTGAGCGTAGTGCGCGTGTCGCACATGGTATCCTTCTGCAGCGCCAAAATGAAGACGAGCCGATTGCGGAGTTGAAAGGTGCTTTTAGTATTCTCGTCGACGACGCCATTGAAGAATATGGCTTGGCTGCGCGCGATATATATGCTGCCATCTTTGCACCGGCAGAGCTTGCGGACGATCACAAAGTCGTGTTGCATAAAGCATGTTACGAGTTCCTCAAATTAATTGTGGAGCAGCTTTGGGATGAAACCATGGCTTATCCAGAAGCTGGAGATCGAATTTTCTGTGCCTACCCTTCCCCAGAGACTTCGACTGATTCTCCTCGTTCTCTTTGGTTATTGAACTTCAAATCCACCCGAATCGCAAAAAGGGTAATGGAGCAACTCCGCGCGTGCGCCCAGGACCGTCTAGAAGAGCTCTACACTGCCTACCGAGTAGTTCCGGGGCTCTCCGTTCTCGTTGGCTGGTTTTTCGAAGCTCTTGCCGTTCGATATCTCATATGTGGTCAATTAAAGAATATGGACCTTGCCGAGATGCGGCGCCCTTCTGACGGTCTGGATAACGCACCTACCTTCAAAATTGATCTACCCCCATCCTCGAAATGCCGTGTATCCCTCCCAATGGCCAGGCGTTCGGATTGTATCTTGGAGCTCTCAGAGAAGTTCAACCGGCAGACCCTTCCTACGGGCTTCCGATCGCGCTGCTTCTACATTCCCGACGCCTCGAACAACCCGCTATTCGATGCCTTGTTCGTTGAAGAAAGCACCGACAATACTGCACTGCACTTTGTTCTCTGGATGTTTCAGGCGACCACTGGCGTTGATCACAAAGGCTTGCGCGAGGGATATTCATCTGCGCAGAAAGTCATGCTGGCACTAAATAAATCGGCACAAGCAGTGAGCAAGGTGGTGAGATTCGAAATCCGGTATGTTCTCATCTTTCCCGAGGATAATAAGAGGACTACGGCGTCATGGCACATGCCAGAAGGATGGACGGAGAAGTTACAATCTTTAGACCATCGCGAGAAGGTTTACTATTTGGATATTCCCATCCCGGTGTGTGCTCTTGATCCATTGGCTTTTTTGACCTTACAGCTGGATTTCGCAGCCCAATCCTAGCTCAACGTCAACTTGGGTATAGGATCCGATGCCCATCTCAGATGTTTTTGCAGCCGTGCTATAATTTCTTGTTGTCGTCCTGTACTTCTATTCGGCTCCACTTGTATAGACAAGCAATTTGAGAAAAAGTATAGAGAACGGAGGCTGATGTTAGTTTCTATACAACTACCAACTAGTCCAGGTGGCAGCAACACAGGCAATTTTCCCAGAAGTGGCATTTATCTGCTAGACCGTATTGCTGTTACATAAAATTATACAAACGCTCTCTCTTTCAGACAACGATTCGTCTATTGAGGAGGGACTGGGATCGGCTCAGGGAGTCTGGGGTTCGGACTGATGGCAGGAAGAGGTGCGCCTTTACGAAGAGTGAAGGGTTGGGTCGGTTTACGAATACCACTAGTTCCACCACTACCGTAGACAGCCTTTGCAGGGGGCGCCTTGAAAGGTTGAGCCTCAGTGGTGAAAACATCTGAGGTCAGGCAAGTTAGTTATATAACTCGTACAGTCAGCCGACAAAGGAGGTGCTTACATTCGTCAAGGCTGATATGGTTCGGATCGTCAAAGGTAAGGTACCTTTGCAACGCCTTTAACATCCGAGCACCCTTTAAAGGAGGAAGAAAGGGAGGCTCACAAATACTTCAACACCTCAGCGAACCAGAAACTTTCCGTATCATCGATCTTCTCGGAATCGACATCGTCGACGTTCCACAATCCTGCGTAGCCCGTTGGGGTCTGAAGGTACTTGTTGAAGCTTTCAACGGCACTGGCAGCACGTTCAAGGTACTTCGCATCGCCCGTCACGCGGTAGGCGTAGAAGTTAGATTCTAGAACCTCGGGGCGGAGGATGTAGGGTGCTGAGGTGATATAGTACCCTGTGTTTTGGTAGAAGGCCAGCTGAGCAGCACTGGGCGGATTCCCTCCCGTGAAGTTTCCATCGGCGGCGATGTATGCGAAGCGTTCCGGACCTATCTTCGTTCTAAGAGTCTTGGTATGAGAACCAGTATGCAGGATGATTCGATAGAAGGGGCATGACTAACGCAGTGCGGGCATACGTGTTCCAGCAGCCATCAACCAAGTCAAGACCGATTTGAACGATTGTGTCGTTGTTCAGTAGGCGTCCACCTTGGAAAGAAGTAGAATCAGTACCGTGTGAACAGGCTAAATAGTGGAATGTCTTACCAAAGAGCCAGTTCCCTCCATGGAAGCATGCCAAATGAGAACTGACGTAACGGATTCTCTGGGTCGAATCCTGGTCTGCGAGATACACATGGCCGCCGACAGTCGAAGTCTTAAGAACCAGGGTCATAAAAAAGGCCTGAATGGGCCCAAGCAGACGAGGATGAACAATTTACCTTCAGTAAGTTCGTAATGGAAGAGTCGACAGCGGTGTGCCATGTGTCCGCGAAGAGGTTATCGTCGGTGTTGGTCAGTCGTGCGTGCTTGATCAAATACTCAAAATAGCTGTCCGAGCCTCCGCCCCAGGTCTGGGAAAATCAGCCTCGCTCGGCCATTGTCCAACCAACACGTTACCCACGATGTATCCTCCGACGAAGTTGCCGCTCATTGGATCAATCCCCTGGGCAGCGAGTCCTGTGGGGGGCTTGGTTGACGATATTCAATTATTGAACCGACAAGACTCCTTACCAGGGAGCGGCGCTGGCTGGGGACAATCGACGGCATTAGCTCGGTGCAAGTTATGTCTTCGAAAGGGCTCGGATTTACCAAATTAGCAATGTGCTTCACGCATGTCAGGACCAGGTCAGCGTAGGTTTGGTTTCCAGTGAACTTCGAGAGTGTCTCCCATTCAAGAGTAAGCTTCCAGTAGAATGAGTGGTGGGCACAGATGGGTTAGGACAGCATGGACCGTACAGTTCCGGCTTCGGCGATATTTGACTGAGGGAAACCGGACAGCTCATCATTAGCCCCGTTTTGTGGAACTAAAAATAAGTAACACTCACGTTGCCGAACATTACAGTGTCCGTCGTGAAATTAAGGAAACCGAAAGGTACGGGGCTGGTCTACGCGTCATTGGTGAGTGTGGAGGACTGAAAACCCGAGCCTTTCATAGGAGAGACCCACCCCACGGAAGGCGAAGGCCATCTTATCAGCGAGTTCTTTCGCTTTCTGAAGAAGACCAGGGAATTCCTGGTTGCTGAGCTCGTATGCGCTAAGGAGACTGCCAAGATAGCGAATGGTTGTTTCGAAGACACTGCAAAAGGGTTGCTCGCAACAGATTGGACTTGAAGGAGGACGAGACACACCTGACGGTGTCATCCGTCTGCGATCTTCTGAAGTCGATCTTGCTCGAAAAGTCCACGGCCTCAAGGAAAAGATCCTAAGAATAACTTCATGGGGGTGTGCTTGTCGACGAGGATAGCTTGACTCACGTTTAGACCCATGATGTGCTGGCATCGAAAACAAAAATAAATGAATTTGTCCACGCGGGGTCGTCATGTAGAACTCACCATGGTAGACATTGCATCGACAATAGTGGCACCTATAGCTCCATGGTTATTCTCTGGAAAAACTGAATAAATAGGTCACAATTCTACCCCATCCATTGCGACCGTCGGAAAAGCCTGCAATAGAAAGGAAAGGTGTGTTAGACGAGGTCTTCAACGGCACGTTCAACCCTACCTTGAGTAAGAGGAGAGAGATCGTCGTGGCCGAAGGCATACTTCCTGTGAGACAGCTGAGTAAGGAAGGAATGACCATCGATTTGAGAGCCATGTATACTTGTACGCGTCGTAGCTGTCGGTAAAAATCTTCTCGACTTGGTCTCGATACACAGCGGCAGAAGGTGGGAGAACGATGTCAGGCTTCTGTACATTGGCGGCTAAGACAGGCACTCCCAGCAGAGAAAACAAAAGGCTGGCTAGAAGATGCATTGGCGAGTGCAGTAAGTGGGGGAAGGGTATCGGGTACAAGGGCAGAAAGAAGCGTGGATCATGCACGGCTTTTATATGGGCCAACTTCAGCTGAAATACACCGGAAGGGTACGAGTGCTTCAGTGTCCTTCTTGCTTCAGTGTCCTTCTTGCTTCGATCGGCAATACGAATCTTCTTCTCCAAGTTAGCTAGACAATCGCAAGCTTCGAGGGCCGTTCCGTTCCGTGCCATTCAATTCCAAAAGTCGGGAGCGGCCAAGCGCCCCTATTACCATGCGCATAGCAGCCCCGTCGGACAACGAAAAGGCGACATCGGCTTATGAGAGGTAAAAGATATTATTCATTCCATTGTCCCTGCTTGGATCGAATTATGAGGACGCGTTGACATGCGAAAAAGAAGAGTTGGGCATACGATAGAGAAAGGGATTCCCGTCGGGGCAGGGACGATATGACGCTTTCTGCGAGGAGGGTCTCCCTCTCAAGGATTGCTTTCCCACCGCCCTTGAGGAAGTCGTGTCGTGTGACTTGTAGAAGGTTTGCGAGACGCGTGGCCACCAGTCAGGCTCGAGAAGATGATAGCAACATCGAAAAGGCTAAGACTATCGACGTGTAAGTATGTGAATTTGAACAGATCATGGATGTGCGGCACCCTTGCCTCAAGCTTCGAGGATTCAGTCATGGTGTGAATTGATGTTCATCTATCAAGAGAAAGTGGGACGAACCCAAAGAATATTTTTCAGTAATACGCACTACAGTATACTCCGAGCCCGCCGACTGCTGCAACGCGGCTTCTTCGCGAAGCTTCCCATTGTAAATGGAGAACGGGAACCGTTCAATCTTCAGCGACGAGGAAACGTGGGTTGATACCGATAAGCCAACTTGAACCCAGGTACTAGAGGCTTTAGATATGCAAAACAAGGGTCGGGCTTCATGTACTCGACTATTGCTGACCTTCAATAATGGCGTTGATGGCGTTGAGCGCAGAAGGAAACAATGTTTGTATCATCTGTTCGAGACCAAATCTTGACCAAACCTCATTATACCACCGTTCCACTGGGCACCGCTCGAAACTCTTTATGTTATTGAAAATCTAGTGGCATCTATTCATGACTATGTAAGAGGACTCCGTTCTTACTCTCACTTCGAAGTTCGAAATTAGGCGCAGCGGCCCACATGCATCTCACTTATCGAATGGCGCCGATGCCACTCGAATCATGCGCTACATTCAAACTCTTCACCGACTCTAGCAAGCTCTAGCATCGTCCTCGCGACCGACCCAGTGAAGCGAAACCGATTGTTGGAAGCCAAAAAGCGAGATCCGTCGACGACTTCCATAGCTCAGCGCTCAGGCCTCAGGGCCCGCATCCAGAAATGTTCCGGGATAGAATCGACGAGGTGCTGGCGGAGTATGACCTTCAGCTCAATGTAGAGCCGAAAATCTTTGAGGAGTATGTGGCCCCATCTTCTCTGTTGCGTTTTGACCAACTGCTGGAGCTTGTTTAGTCACATACACCGGACGTGTGTTGCCTTCACCGCGATGCTCTTTTATGGGCAGATCAAGCTCGCTCCACTCATGCAGGGCGACACATTTTCACGTCTCTACGGCACGGCTTTAGCTAGGATGTCGGTCTACCCGGTTTTCTTGTCAGCTCACCTGCTCGCCCCCAGGTAACAGGACTATGTGACGAAATTAGGCTACCCAACAAGCCCTGCACCGCCTTCCCTGCCACTAAGCTTCCCCTCCTCCTGCTTCTCTCTCTACTTCGGTTATCTCTCGGCATAGGGCAAGGGAAACTACTAGGACCTTATGAAGTGCCTTTTTTCTTATCCCACCCACAGGACACGGCATCATACTGTGGACCACTATCTTTCGAAAGCTTCACACTTGCCGCCTTCGAGATTGATGCTGAGGTTGAGATGGGAGAAGACGAGCTGCTTGATACTTGTCGCTGAGTAAGGAGGTATGGTAGTCCTCAGCTGTTGCTACTTTTTTTCATCACATACAGCGTGCCGTGCCGGTACGATCCCCGAATCTCTCTCAGGGACTCCAGCAACACTGAAGAGACCAAGCTCCCCTGTACTTGCGTTGCAATACATTCTTTTCATGTTATTTGCTAACAGGAAAGGTCCTCTTTGCCTGTGGCAAGTATTAACGGTTGATATTTAATGGGCCTCAACTGACTCATCATTAACAGATCCATTGACAGCTGAAAATTTGACGGAACAGAGGGCGCTGAGTAGATACTACCTTGACGAAGGTCAAGCGTCTTACCAGCGCGAGGCTTAACTGTGCATCAAATCTCCTATATCTTGAAGATATTGATCCCAATCTCCCAACCTACGACGGTGACAGAAAGCCACGGTAAATGTTGTGGTATTCAATGAGGGAAACGATTCAAAAACGTACCCAAGGCTCGTTGCAAGGACGTTCGGACAGACGCTCGTTGCCTCGTCAGTTGAACCGTGTTGCCTTAAAGGTGTTAGATGTTCCTGTGTCTCTTGGGTCGTCTGTTCTTCCTTCTGGTAGAAGTATTGGCCATCGTTCGATGATAGGGTGACAGTCCCATCTTCCACTACGAGGGATCCGGATTCCCCCATTGCGACCTCGTCGGGAAAGTTCGTAAAAGGAGCAAAAGCCATGACGCTGGACCCGTTTGAAGTCGGTGGGTACAATGAAGCTAATGACGCCTGGAACAAAGACCAGAAATTGAGCGACGAGACATTATCTGACCCCGGTTCTTGAACGCCTGCAAGGTTGATGGCGGACGATATCGGAAATGGAAGTAGAGCTTGTCTTGAATCGGGATAACTCTGCAAGCCTCCGGAAGATTGAGCGACAGAAACGCTCGCTACTGCATCTTCTCCGCTGAAGACATTCTCGCAAGAATAACACCACCGGCCGTCCATTATGGACGCTCCTCCATTGGGGTTTTGAGACCGCGTCTGGGGTATGGTCTGAGAAAGGGAGCTTGAGGGACCTGAAGGAGACCAACGCCGTCCTGGAGTGCTGGTACTGTTGGATGCCTCCTGTCCTTGAGCTGGGAGATCAACGAAGGCAAGCTCAGACAGGACGTCCCTGGGCGGAAGTCATTTGTCTCATGTCAAAGAGTTGTAACGCTAGGTAAAATTACCTCACTTTGCCCGCATGATGCCACCGCGCCTCAGCAGCCTTGAAGATGTGAAGGCATCTATAAATGTCCTCCATATCATTGTTCCACTCCGGCGGACTTCCAGGTTTTCTTCGGCCCCACATATCGAAAAGAAGCACAACACCGTAGACGTAGGTGGCAATCTCCAGAGTAAAACCTTGTGGTCAAAAAGGAGGTACACAGAAAGCGAAGATATCTGAACTAACCTGGACATTCGGAAGCGGCGGCATCACATTCTTCTCGAGGCAGGTATATGCCACGCTGCAGCCTGCGCGAGCCGCATTCTTGCATATAGCCAGGGATGGAAGCGACAGAGACGAAGGGCGGTTGGGCAGCGGGATGAAAGGGATATGAATCAAGATGCGGATGTGGTAGTAGGTAACATGAAGCATCCCAGAGAGACTGAAGAATTTGTCATGCTCCCGGTTGGGGTCCCATCGTACTGCAAGGTTCATTCTTAGCAGTTGCACAAGTGCAGACATTAACAGTGTACTTACGATGCTCTGGTACGGAGGCGAACCACTTGTTCAAACTAGAGTCTAGTTCTGCCACGATCCGAGACTTCCACTGCTGATCCTTCAAACATAGCTGTGCGTTCATCTTACTTAACGAATACTAGAGCAACCATCGAAGTCAGCAACAAGCGGCAGCACATGAAGAAAGAGAAGACGTACGATTCCCCGAATACAATACGCCATGATTCGAGTCAGCTGAAGGTGCAGAATGAACGCTAAAATCAGGGAAGGCTTGTCTGACGGCTGTTTGAATCGTTTCGGTGGATCTGGATTTTCCCAGTATTCATCGTCGCAATCGATAGGTGTATCTAGATCGTAGCTTGAAGACGTATCAGCTTCGTTCAGTGCTTGAACGGGAAGAACTAACTTACTCTTCTTCTTGGATGGCGCATGGACGTCCCAGGGCGACACTTATGGTCCGATCGAGGCTAAGAAGAACCCTGACAAGTACGTTTAGCGAAAGATCGATGGGTGAAATTGAAAGGGTCTCTAACCAGAAGGCTCGTTTCCACAGCTCGCCTTCCACTGTGTTTGGTCGCGTCTTCCGCCGATGAGCACCGACTTCTTGAGCTAAACGGAAAGCAATGCCAATCATCGCCCACACTGGTTGCGGTGCAGAAGAGCACTGCAAAAATATTATGCTGAGCTAGAGAAAATGCCAATAAATATATAAGCTCGACATATCGAGGAAAGAAAGCGTACACAGTAAAATTGTAGGTCATACAAACACGGTTGAATAGGGTACCTTGTCTTGAGTGCTTGAGTTTCGTTGAACCATTTCCAGCCAGCAGAGTGGTACGAATCGAAGCCAGGCAGAAGGACTCTCGAGTCGGTCGAGAATTTCGAACCTACGGCGCACACAAGAAGATAGATTGCTGCAAAATCGTCGTTGATGTGCTGTAAGCCCGCGAGCACGGATCTCCGGAAGGAAGGCCCATGCAGGAGAGGCAGGTAAGAATTAACGTTGTCGAAATAGAGTTCCACGAGGCCGGCGGCAAAGTCGGGTTCAGGGAAGTTATAGCGAGCTGAAATTAAGGGTTCCGGTGTTCGTTCCCACTAGAAAGTAGCTATGTCAGCACTGGAACAAATCTCTTTACCACATTGCATACCGGGAGACGAGTCCAAAATTCCTCGCGTTTGTAGCGAAGAACTGGCTGTTTCAGATACTGGGTCTGGATGTGCTTCGTTTTCAATGCTATATAGGCCAGAACCTCGCCGCTGGACATGCCAAAGAATCGATTTGTCCCCAGGTTCATTATGTTCGGACCTTTTGCAAGCCCATCACTTTCATCGTCTAAATGAGTATAATTGTCGTTGCCAACAGCTCGAAGTCCCCTGGTTATTCTTTCTACAGGGATCGTTGTTGCAGCCAGTGAAGATTGTCCGACTCGGGGAGTCTTCGAGTCGGAACCTCCATCAAGCCATTCGAGCCATTCTTCGAAGGTTTGGTCTTCTGGACATAGCTGTTGAGATTTTGGTAAATTACTCCCGAATGCAGATGCTGGAAAGATGCTTGCCTGTCTGAGGAGCTTTTCTAAACCCTCAACACGTCGTTCGAGGCCGGTGATATATCTTTTGGAAAAATGAGCATCAAAAATTGGCCGATGCATGAAGCATACTTCTTGGTGGGCACACGTCTCTGAATAAAGAGAAAATAAGTAGCCACACGGCACGAAAAAAAACAGCGTACCATGAATACTTGGGCTTCGTTGGGGGTGAACTCGGACAACGTTCAGAACCTGGAGAAACATTCCTTGTCCCTTGCGGGCCCCTACAATCACCTGACAAATGAATACTAAGCAAAATCGGGACAGGAATGGTGTCTAACGTCGTCAAGAGCGATATAAAGCTGTGATATTTCAGAAGTACAGTAAGCTCAAATTTTTGGAATGGGTTGCACTAAACAGTCGCGAGACGCACCTTGATCTAGCCATCGAGGCTTCTGCCAGCTGTCGCCTTTGCAAAGACCTCGAGCAGAAGACCGAAGAGGACATGCATGTGTGTCACGAACACTTAGTAAGGAGTTGGTAAGGAAGACCTGAAGAGTATGACCCAGGAACAGTGGCTGGTATGAATTATGTAAGCGACGGTCAATCCAAGCACGTGCAGGCGATGAAGCTTAAGGTCCAAGAGGCGGCGACAACTAAATTTCGTGACACAGACCTTGACTGAATCACTCAAAAATCCTATTCGTCATGCAGTGAGAAGCGGACAGGAGCAACGCGTACGAAAACGTTTTCAGGACGGGCGATGATGTTATGAGGAGGGGAACGCTAAGTGGAGAATAAAATAAGTCCAGGGATACGATGAATATCAGAATTCTATACAATATATACCTGGAACACATGGGCGATAATTAGAGTGGTATTCATAACGGCGCTAGCTCAGCATAGCTTGACACTTACAGTTCAATGGAATTTATCATCCAAGGTCGAAACTACTTGTATTCGGCAAATACTCGTCCCAAGCATCGAAGCTGCAAGTAAGGAGAACAGGAAGTCAGCATAATTTCGAAGGAGGATCAACGAAAAGTAGGGCTACCCTAGCCCAGGTGGCATGATGGGCCACAGAGTCGCTGCATCGCCAGTCAAGTATATATCATCTCTATTCTGACGTTGATCTTGTTGGGCATGTTGCGGAACTGGCGGTTGATACTGGAACACATCAGCGTTCATTGACGGCGACGCATGAGCATTAGTTTGCACAAGGGACAATCGCGAAGAGGCGCTCGGATTTGCAGACTCCGATGCAGAGTTAACATGGTTCTGAACACCAGCGGAAACGCAACCCGGTGGATTGACTGGCATGGTCAGCGAAGCATTGAATGCGGACCAAAAGTCTGAGGTGACTAGAGAAGGCGAAATGTGCACCCTAGGATCCCGCTGCACGATTGTTTTCGCTGCTACTGATCTCGGTGGTCGTGAAGGATAGTTGATGGTGTCCAGATGAGACTCATAGCGGTATTGTTGTGCTCGCAGCAGGCCAAAGTCTTTAGATGATTCCTTGGTGGCTCGTCTGCTCAAAAGCGGCGTTTGCTGTTGCATTTCAGAGTCAGCAATCTTCGTCTGGGGGAGGGAGCTTTCTGGGAGGGGCTTTTCTGGGTGTGGGTTTGGAGGCGGAGTCGGGAGGACGCCTTGGCCATATAGAGTAGTGCCCAGCGCTTGCGAAAGGAAACTTGGGAGGTCTTGGGGAGACGACCGCCCTCCTTTACGCTGCAACGCCACTTCCTGGTTAGGATCTCCTGCAAAGGCCAGCTCGGAGAGGATATCCCTGGAAGTGAAGGAGGCGAATTAGACGAATGCTTAAATACAAGATTGAGAGAAGATGTACCGCATTCTGCCAGCCTGGTACCACCGTTCTTCCGCGACCTTGAGAACATGCAGGCACTTGAACACCTCCGTCACATCGCCTCTCCAATCAGGCGGGGTTCCGGCCTTCTGTCGATCCCATATGGCGAACAATAGCACCACAGTATAGGTGAAGATTGATAGCTATCGATGCTGGTCAGAATCTGTCGTTCCGGCGAAGATAGTAACGAACCTGGATAGCGGGCATAGGGGGCAATCCATTTCGCTGGAGGGCAGTATATGCAATGTTGCACCCTGCTAGGGCGGCGTCCCTGCATATAGCGAGAGACGGGAAAGGCAGGGGCGATGGTTTGCCTGGTAGCGAGAATGGACAATGAACAAGGATACGAATGTGACAAAAAAGCACATGAAGCATAGCCGACAAATTGATGAATTTGCCATGTTTGCGAGTGAAGTCCCAACGCACTGAAGTCTGCGTCGTCAGGGCCTATAGAAAGTGAGCTTAAATTAAGAAAGCTTACAGTGTTCCGGAAGCGAAACTAGCCATTTATTTAAGCTCATGTCTAACTCAGCAACGATATTCGATTTCCACTGTTCGCCCTCCAGACCAAGTCGCATATTCATTTTTCTCAAAGAATACTAAACGAGGCACAGCTTCAGTCGAACAGATGATCTTCAAGGAGAAACGACATACAATCCCGCGAATACAGTACGAGAGAATTTGCATCAATTTGAGCTGTTGAATAAACGCCGAAATCAAGGATGGTTTGTTTAATGGTTGCTTGAATCGTTTCTCGAGGTCAGGATGCTCCCAATATTCGTCATCGCAATCGATGGGCATGTCGAGGTCATAACTAAACGACAAGTTAGCGGATTTTTCCAACGCTAAGGCCACCAATGCGTACTCGCACTCTTCGACAGTCAGTGGCCGGCCCAAGGAGACGCACATGATTCTATCGAGGCACAAAAGGACCCTTTGATTCATGAAGTAGATTGAAAGGCGCCGAGAACAGGTTAGGGACGTACCAGAATGTCCGCTTCCAGAGTTCACCTTCCATTGTAGGTGCACGAGTATTTCGTCGATGAATCCCGACTTCTTGAGCGAGCCGAAAGGCAATCCCAATCATTGGCCAAATCGCGAGCGATGCCGAGGAGCAATGCAAGAACATTATACTGAGCTGCAGAGACAGTCAGCTACCCAAGAATGACAACGCAATAATGCTCACACAGTAAGACTGGAGATTATATAGAGTAGGCTCGGCGGGGGGAGTTTCTTGAACAACCTCCACTTGAGCGTACCATTTCCAACCAGCGGAATGAAAGGAATCGATACCATCCATAAGCACCCTTGCGTCGGTCGAAAACCGAGAGCCCACGGAGCAGGCGAGGAGATATACTGCTGCAAATTCGTCATCCATGAATTGCAAGCCTTCCCGAGTCAATCTCCAAAAGGACGGGCGATGGAGGAGAGGGAGGTAAAGATTGACATGGTTGAAATATAGGTCAATGAGGCTATCAGCAAGGTCGCGGTCGGGGAAGGTGTAAGAAGCTGCCTGGAAGGATGAGGATGGCTTTTCCCACTGATGAAAGTGTGGCTATTAATATTATTGTGGCTGAGTCAGTTCTCGTGACGCCACTCACCGGCCGAGGAGTCCAAAATTCTTCACGTTTATTAGAGAGTGGTGGTCGAGTGGGGTCCTTCGGAGCGCAAGCGTATTCGTCTTTCGCGCTGAGGGCAATACGGGTCAGGATCTCTGCACTGGACGTGCCAAAGAACTCATCTGCCAATCTTATCACTCCTGGTGCGGCAGCTGGAGCAGCACCGCGGTCATGTCCGTCGTCCAAAGAAGCGATGTTGTCTTCACCAACAGAACGGATAGCATTCGTGAGTTTCTCAATCGGAGAGCTTGCTAAGGCTAACGAGCTCGGTCGGGTTCGAGGGCGGCTAAGAGGCTTGCCAATGGTATTCGATTCGACCGAACTAAGCCATTCTTCATAATCTCGTTCCCCTGGACATATCTATCGTGCATTTAATGTTAGTACACCGCCGGAAGAGATAGCCTAAAGTCACGTACTTGTCGAAGGAGCCTGTCCAAACCTTCCAGTCGCTTCTGGAGTCCGACGACACGTCTTTCATCCGCATAAGGCACTCCGTCAGATTGACATGTTTCTGAATCCTCATCCTCCCTGGGAGGCATCCTGAACTATCAGAGTAGCTTTGGTTATTGGTTAAAGCTAGGGCAAGGTGGATATCTTACCATGGGAGAGCACTGACGTAAGGAGTGGTAAGAAATTAGAAGTCTGCTGTTGGTTCTGTCATCTGGCTGACCTAACCCATGAAGGCCGGATTATATAGCTGGTCAGGTTCATTTCAACCTAAATAAAAGGGATCTGTGAATCGATGGAATCGAACTCGCTGAAGTGAGCGCATTGAGGCTAAAAAGAATTGGGAGAGGATGAAGAGAGCTTGCGATCAGCGGTGAGTCGTTTTGTAAAATATTGTTAATGCACGGCGTGATCCCATCACTCACGTGGACTTCGTGCCTGCCGGGACTTCCGAAGGCTGGCACGAAACTCTACATGAGTGCTGGCAGGTGCTGGCAAAGGGTTCTGACAAAGACAGGATGCGTATTCAACAGGTTTTCTACATTTGAACTGCATTAAACGAAGTCTATCATGTAGGTTGCTGGCTTTCAGGAAGAGTATCCTGTATAACGACCGTCATCGCAAAATCACTTCACTCGTTCTGCATGAGCGACTCCGCCGGCGGAAACACAATCCAGCAATTCGGATGGCGAAATCGTTTGAAAGTTTCATCTGTGCTCCTGATAGTATAATGGCCGAGCTGGCCTCCCCATCACGATACTGGTGTGGCGCAATCCTTTTCATTTCCTTTTCTAGAATGTTTATCATCACGGGATGCACTGATCAGGAGCGAAAACCCATTCAGACGAACGTCCGTTAGACTTTTTTTTTCTAGGCCTTTTCAAATATTTATATTCTGATAGCTTTTTGATGCGACGGCCAATCCTCGTCCTTTCAATTGACCTTCAAGACCTCCAGTTTAGGCTGCCCAATCATTCCCACACTAGTCTTCCTTCGTAAGGACCCACTAGATCCCCGATATCCAACGCATCTTCCAAGATGACACCGTGTGTTCTACGGCTGTGAGGCGCCTTCCTGACCCGGGCCTTGAGGAAGTCATGGTCCAAGGACCTGCATGTCTCTGTTTGTAGAAACCCAAGGCTTTAGAAGACCTACGATTCGACGCAAGTTATACAATGCCTTGTGAGCGTGTTAGGGTCGTCTTCTTCACCCTAGAATTCCTTTGAGATATGCCTTAGAATGGGTTTGATCTAAATTAAATCTTGACTCGGACATGTCTTGCCGCTCAAGACGCGGTGTCTGCGACCATTTATTGCGTTTTTGGCAACACAGATAAATCATTGCGTTGGCGGCGGGGCTTCTGTTCAAGCCAAAATATTGGAATTTTCCCTTTCGGAGGAGATTCGACTCCACTGCACGTCGTTCCATGTGCTGCACTACTGCAGCCTACGCGTTTTGGGAGAACCAATTGCCCAGCTCAGAAACCAGGAGTACGTTGGAGTGCTTTAAGATTAATTGGCCCTGGATCTTGGGTGGCAGAGTAGGTCATGTATTCGAAAGATCTGTGGTAGGTTCTTCTTTCTCCCGCCAATCAAGTACTAACGTGCTACGTGCATTCTGAAGCATTTGATTCACACATCTTAGATTTGATCATGGAGGGAAAAAATGGTTCAGTTCTATGCTATAATAAACCAAAGCCATCCTGAACTCGCTTGATCAAAATAATAAGGGAAAGCAACACCGAGCCCCCCCCCGAACCGCGTGCCTGCGATGATGGTCCCCTTCGAGAAAAAGGATTTCTTTTTTGTCTCGCCCAGATGCGATGAGGCTGCAGAGGTCGGATGGTGAGGTATATAGCGCCATGAGGATGCGCTTATGTAAACCAGAAGGCCCTTTAGGAGTCCTTCAACTTATCTGACATAATAAAACTGAGACGTTTTTCTCAGTAAATTTCTAGCCGACTTGAACGTGACGCGCTTTATAATAAGGATTACGATGACGCCAACGAAAGACATCGCCTTTAAGTACGACATCACTGTGGCGTCTTTTGAACGTCTCAGCAGATTGCCATTTTAGTACCAAGGGCTACCCCTTCGAGCGGTTCTTAGTAACTCCATGCACCATCATCAGCTTTGCAGCTGCCGGGCTCAACAACGATCAGTGGACAGGTAAATAAGCTGCATAGGTACATTCAGCATCTTCCGAATTGCTGCGTAACACCAATCCATTGGAATAGGGGAAATTACGCGCCAAGGAAATTCGGGGACAGAGACGACACGTCATATGGTCCCGCATTTTGCCTAGATTTCCGACTGTTAGAAATAACAGACACCGTTGAATATCGTGGTCCGGTCCCGAGACTCCACCGGCTCCGAGCGCTGAATTGCTCGATGTTTTCCAAGAAGGACCAAGCATCGTCGGCGCCCGTCCCGCGGGACGCGGACGGTCAATCTAGTGGTCCACGTCTCATAAGGAAAATTGGTATTGGGCCTTTCACTTCTTCTAGAATGCCCAGATGGCTAGACCAGAGAAATGCACCTCGGTATCGTTTATTGTTCTCGGTGCCGCGAAAACGCGTATTAGAGGCTTTGCGCAAAGCCAGCTGGAGCCAGTGGTGGCTCAAATGCGTTGCGCTGAGACCTTTAGCCAGCAGAACCTGAATATCAGACCAATGAATGCCATATATTAATATTACTTACATCTCTCTATAACCTCGTATTTGCTGGAGAGCTCCACGCGATATCAGTCTGTGGGGGTGGTTGATCAACGTTCAACGTTCAACCGTTGATCACGGTTGATATTTTCTGCTGGCTCAATTTCCATATATAGGTTAATTTCTGGAGATTGTCGTAGCTGCACGGATGAATACAATGAGATGCTTGCATTGTCATTGAACTCCCCTGGCATCCAGACATACATGGTGCTACATAAGACTCAGTTAAAAGCATAGTCACTAATTGGCTGCTACTGGCTACACGACAAAGCGCAACGTTTTTGAGCCAGCACTGGCTCCAGCTGGCTTTGCGCAAAGCCTCTATTATGGTCCAAACCTCTACCTCTGCTCTCGATCCCGAGCCCGACACACGGTCGTTGCCCTTCGGAACCGAGAGATTTTCTATATTGGACAGGGCGCTTGGCGATTAGGCGTTAGGCTTTGTTTAACCACTGGGTCTTGAGATTATAAATGGTCTGGAAAAGGTGTGAATCGGGGTGCTCTGACCCACTATCAAGATCTGGTCATTTATTTTTGCCAGATGCGTAGTACCCGGGTCTCGCCTTGAATGTATTCAATCCGGCGTCCGAGGATTTTAGAAACGATCCAGATCCTATAATTATTTTGCTTTGCTCTTGCCCTGCTAGGCTCTCCGCACCGAGAGGACTTGGTGGGCAAAGACTCGGAGAATGCTCCGCGGCAGTGGGAAGGGTAACGAGTGAAGCAAACGTGAAAGCGATATAGAAATGGGACGCGCAGATTTTGACTAATTGTACACGCAAAACAAAACGGCCTCTATATTAGAAGGACGTTGCGATGAAAAGACTGAAGAAAACTTCGATAAAGTACCTCCTACGGGTGGTGAGCTTCGTAAACGAGCTGCTTAACCTGGTCGTCGCCCTTGTCTTTCGACAGTCTGGACTCCACATCGCTTTCCCGCTCTCTCGGGTGATGAGGTTGATGTTGGTAGTCGTAAGTGAAGTTCGAGACATCGACTTCCTCGAACTTGGTGTTCGCTCCAGGAACAGGGAATAGCCGATTCAGGGCGTAGTAGATGAGAGCGGAGACGCCAAAGCCAGTGAAGAAAGACATCTGGTAGATACGTGTAGCTGCCAAAGGAACTGTTCTGCCAGCTGTTCGGAAAGTTTCGTTAAATAATTGGGAGAGACAAAATAGATCTACTTACTGGCTCCAGCGAATCCAACGACGTTGATAAGAATGCCAGCTATATAAGCCGCATAGGCGCTAAAATAGAAGGTTACAGCCGGACGGAATCCTATGAGAAAATATACATACCGGAAGTTGATTCCCCAAGTATACCAGTACCAGCCATCTTTACGAGCATCGTAAAGGTCCGCCACCGCGTAGTGTCCTCTTCGAATGACGTAGTACTCCATTATCTAGGGACGAAATCAAATGATCAAGAGGCTTCCCTAGCACAGAAGGCGGACGTACCATCACGCCAGCAATCGAACTCAGGAAAACACTGTATGCTGAGAGATATGAGGTGAAACTATTACTGCTCTTGAGCAGATTCCATGGAAGCATGCAAAGGCCGACAATGGCCGCGACATAGCCACCTCGACGGATGTTCTGAAGGCCAATCCTTTCGTTCAGGACGAGGTCAGAGAAGATAAAAGGCTATCTTACAATAAATCGGGGGAAGAGTGCCGTTAAATCACATCCGGCACTGATAGAATTGGCGGAGATATTGGTGCCAAGCTGGGCGATGATGAACGCGAAGGAGATGAACCACACCTGGGAATTGTGATTTGTTAACATGCACTCCGAAAAAACCCAAGCAAAGGGCAAAACGCACCCCAAATCTAGTAGCACTCGAAGGGCTATCATCCAGGAATCGACCAAGGAGATCGATAGGCGACCAAATGGCTTCTCCGTAGATCGTCTCCGAAGAGGAGCTGACAATAATTCCGACGAAGCTGACGAGGGAGAACGATAAGGGCACTGAGAACAGCTGCGGCCACAACGCCGCGCCGGGGGTCTTCGCACGAGACGCAAAGTCTGGAGCATTCCTACGGGTGGAGATATCGGCAGAAAAAGAAGTCACAAAGAAAGTCAGTACAGCAGCAGAAGAGGCGAAGAAAGATACACACGTGACGAGAGTCGCCATGTTGCTGATGCACGACATGAGACTGACCACCATCGACCAACCCAGCTCCGAGCCATGCACGGTCGACGGACGCGAGACGATAGGCCCTACGCCCTTCGCCTTAACGATGCACCAAATGAAGAACGTGATACCCGCGATGGGGGTAACGATCGACTTGAGGGTGAACAGATGACGGCTGCAGTGGTTCAAACAAAAATTTCAATACGCAGACCCTTGAAAGCTGCAAATCACAGCAAGAATAGATCGAGCCTCAGGACCTCTGACATACATTTGATGGATTGGGAACCATATAGCCGGCAGGGAAATCAACCAGAAGAGGAAGAAACACATAAAGTCCCTAGTAGTGGTGCCAGAAGATTCCGGAAGGCGGTTAGCTGCGTATGTGTTGAAATGGAGCAGAGGACGGCGGCAAAGTCCAGGGAGGACGATTCATGAGAACATTTTCTCTCTGTGAATTCATATGGACTCACGAATGTCGTTTACACTAGGCCACATTGCTCGGAGCATGACTTTGACGCAGTCTCCGCCAATGCTCGCCTGCACACCGTACCAAACACTGTACAAGACGGCGGAGATGACAGCAATGAGTTTCATCAGAGAGGTCCAGGCGAAAACGACGCACCATGCCATTGCACCTCGGTTGAAAGTACACCACAGACTTCCATATAGGCCAAAGCTTGTGCGAGCAACGACAGGGAAGGTGACGTGGAAGATCGCGCCAGGACGAGCGTTGAGGACGATGAAGGGTGCAACAAATCCGTATCCCACCCAGACGCATATCCAGGCCTGCCACCAAGACAGGCCCAGCTGGACCATTGAGGAAACGATCATCCATCTGATACAGGGTCAATATATTTTCAAACGCGACAATTAAGTGAATGCCTACGTGTTAACGTTGAATGAATCCGCAATCCAGCTGAAGAATACTCAGCGATCTCTCGTGGTAAAACATAGAGATGGCAGCGTACAAGGAAACAAAGTTGATCGAACTCCATGTCCTCTTCTCTGCTGGTACGGGCACGAGATCATCGTTCTACCGAACCAAAACCCTTTAGCACGACAGGAAGAAATCCAGGTGGATCCCACATACCGACAAGAACATTTGCTGGTAAGTCAAACCAGGCGCATGACCCACCTCCAGCTTCTCGATGATCTTCTGCACGCCCATCTTGCCCAAATGTTCCCTCCTGTTCAAACTTCAGGGTCTCGTATCTTCGTTTTCACGTCGGTCTTCGTATCGTCTCCGTTCGATAGACTGACCAACACCAACGACGGCACCGGGCAGGAATAAAGAGAGGACTTGACGCGGGGAGAAGCACCTCCTGAACCGACCATCCCTCTCCACCTGCTCCTCCTTAAAGCGCTGCTTATCCCCTTCGATAAAGCATGGCAATCCGAAGGTGGCGTCCCGGACCGTTCTATGTACGTCGAGAGGGCGAGATAGAGATAAGCGGGCATGGGATCGGGGAAAATCCGACAGGCGAGATAAGCTTGCCCCAAGCGAAGAGCCTGGCTATTCAGAGCCCTTGATTCTCGAGCGACATTGACGCCCAAGGCTGCGTGTATCAACTTCTTCTGAGCGCCTACGAATTTGAGCCTATCAGCCCTGATCGAAAGAGAAAATCAAATTGAAGATCAACTACCTCGCGCAGTCAGGCGCGAGTTATCGCAACCCGCCCTGTCCTTCCGCCTTCCGTCCAGTCCAGTTCCGCCCCCCTTTCGTTATTCGGACATCTAAGTCGCCTGGTGGTGCCGAAAAAGCCTATCTCGCGATAAGATAGGAAGCGGGTTTGTAAGGCGGCAATGCCCAGAGGGCCAGGAGGTTGGGTATTCGGGAATCGGAATTCCAATGATGACTTGCTTCCTACCCCCGAAGAACGAGATAAGACGGGTGAAATAGCCATGTCGAGACTTGATGTGTGCGCCACTGCGGAGAATAGAGTCGAGGGGTTCTTTGGGGTTCTGATGTCGTTTAAGGAAGGAAGCTGAAGGAAGCAAGAATAGAGCTCTAAAAAAGTATTGGGTACGCACCTGTGCCCGTGAGGCTTTCCAACTGCTTCCTGGGGGAGATCGACTGGGAAATAGAGCAGAGGTTGCACCTTCAGTGGAGAAAGAAAACAGAGCCTTCAACGGAGAAACCTGGGAGAAACACTCGAATTTCAATTTGTTGGCAAAGCGCACGTGACGACTTCATGTCGCGTCGCGCGACGCGTATGGCCTCTGCGCCAACTTGTCGAATTCTACCCACATCCCGCGCCGGCATAAAAATAGATGCACAATAGTTATTGTATTCAAAGGTTGAAGTTCCTGAATACATGTACATCGGTTTTATATAGGGTAAGATAACGATAGCCAGAGATATAGAGATATAGAGACAGTACACAGCGAAAGGAAAACAAATCGACGAGACGAGATGCGGGTATGGAGTATGGAGTATGGAGAGTGTGTCCAAGGCGCGAAAGGCAGCATTAATGGGGAAGAGCATTAGGCGTACGGGTGTCGTGAAGGCATTAAAACTTCGACGGCATAAGGTAGCGTGCATGCAAGTGCCATAAATGCGAGTACGATGCGACTGAGTGAATGCAGAGTGTGGTGGAGTTATGGTTAAGTATGCAGATATGCAGAGGTGCCATGCAAGAGGGGACAAACCAAAAGTATATACAAGTGAAATGAGGAATGAGGAACGAGAAATGAAGAGTGAAGATGAAGAGGTGGTGTTAATAGATGATGTTAAAAGAGGATGAATGGAATCGAGATGAACCGAGTAAATCGAGGAAAAGATGGAGATGCGAGGCGATGAAAATTGTTTCGAAAAACAAACGCAGGGATCCCGAATTCGTGGTGATGGTGGGTGGGTTATGGTTTTAAATACGCAGCCTTACCGCTGGCGCATGTGCGTAAAGTCGAGAATAGAGCATGCAGATCGAGAAGTAACAAGCGTTTCAAGCATTGCGATTCGGATAGCGATGATGGAGAGAGAGAGCGTGCGATAGGCCTGGTCTGTGTTCGTTCGTTGCTGATGCAGAATATCGGGGGATTAATGGAATGGTGCGTGGGTACCATGTGTCGCGAATTTGGCGAGCGAATGTCAACAAGTGAATGCTATTGATGGCGCGGGGTGGCCCAAGGAGGTTCATGCGAGCTGCTCGGCAGGCGAAGCGTCGCCGGACCCAGAAGTCTTGCTGAGGCGTGTGCTAGAGCCGGAGGGTGACGAGAACGTGAACGCCGCATAAATTTGCTTGCGTTCCGGGGTGGAGAACGTGCGCGGCTCCGTAATATCTTCCGACATTGCACGGCGGCGAGAAGACGTCGACGAAGAAAAAAGTGCCTGCGAAGGCTCTGCGAAGTAATCGCGGATCTCTGGCTCAACAGACGATGCCTATATAGTAATATGAAATGAAGATCAACACGTTGGTGGCGAGAGATTAGGACATGAACGAACCTTAACTGTGCGGAATTTGGCTCTAGTCTCAGAGACGCCAGAAGACGAAGAGGGAAGGCCATTAAACACGTCGACCTCCTCATATGCCTCAGAGACGTCAGCCAGAGGCTTGACTGTGAGCTCGTAGCACCGTGAATCGATCTCGGCCTGCGACAAGCGTTCCTTTTCCTTCTCCACTTCCTCATCCAACTTGGGCATGGGTGAAATTTTCCTCGAACCAGCTCGCTTGGTGGAGGGTTTCCTACCAGACCCTGCGACCTTGGTATCCTTCTTGGAGCCCTTTGGCTTCGTGGTGGCCGCAGTGGATCCCTTGCGTTTCTTGGGCTCCGGTTGGGTATCCGCGTCCTTCTTGACTTTAGTGGCCGGTGGTGGTTGAACTTTGGTCGCGAGAACGCTGGTCTTACGTTTCTTGGAGGCGGTGGTGGAGGGTCCGGCCCGTTCTCCTGTGAGAGGGTTTACGTTCTCCTTGTCAAGAGCAACCAAGTCGCTGAGGGTGGTGGCATCACCGGCCGCAGCGACGTTGAGCGTAGTCGAGCGTGTGGCCATGGTGTTGGAGCGAACGACCTTCGGCTGGGACGGCTCACTGGATACGGCATCCTGAAAGACTGTGAACGTTCGGAGGGACATGGTGGTGATGTGATGACAGGGCAGATCGACACGAGGTTTGTTCGTGTAGATGAAGGTAAGGAATGGAAATGGGGAAACGGTGAGTCGATCTCAAAGTCCGCTAGTGTGTATGTGTGACGGAGATCTCGCGCGGTGTCGACAGGATACCCAGGAACGCGGTGGACGATGAGGACAAGAGGCAAGAGGCGTTCGCCGGCCAAGCGCAAAACTTAAACTGGAAGCAGTCACGTGCAAAGAGCAAACAAACCGACCGCGTAACATCACGTGTCTACGCGTCCCATCAAACGCCATCAGTGCTTACGGCATCCCCCGTGCGTCTTCCCCGTGGACACCCTGTTTCTGCTCAAGGACCGCTGCTGTGCAGACCGCACATTTCCTGAAACGCTCTGTTGCTTTGTTCGTCTTCTAGCGCCGTTGTGTTGTCATGTCTCACGACAGCTTTTTTTGTGGACTTCACAAAATGTCGAAACCCAAATGAAACGAAGAAGCCAGGCATCCATTACACAGAACGTCATTGCAAGGCGTTATCGCACATTTCACCGCGTCGAATGCACACCCCTATCCTGGCTGTCTATCGCCTGCGGTGAGCGGCTAGCCTCTCCATCGGAAACGCTATCCTAGACATCCGTAGTCTTCAATCTCGCCTTTTCGGGTCTGAAGCACAAATTTTCTGTCGACGCGTCCTCTCTCTCCCGGGCCTCGGGGCTGTTTCTCAGGGCGTGTTTCTGCTGCCCGTTTACCACGGGGAGGAACGATCCTGCTTTCATATCGTTGCCTAACCAAGGTCTGCATTGGCCCTTCGATCATCTTCACGTATCTCCATGATAAGCAGCAAACCATCCATGCTGGGAAATGTCTGACCTGCCCTTGTGGCGGACCTCGAGCTCGACTCGATTCGGGTTCAACGTTCAGAGCCCAAGTCCAACGCCTTGCCTGCTGACTGCGTTCATGGGCCCACTCCCTTTCTCCGGTGATGCAACGGACAACACTGAGCTATTCTGTCAGATTGGCGCTACCGCGATTTTTATTGAACTATGTCATATGTCCTCGGCCCCTGCTTTGCAGTCCTAATGTACCATCGCAATTGCGCAAGTCCTTCTCCTGTGCTGGTATATCGAGCTATCTTCTCCCCCCGCGTTAGGGAACAAGCGAAGGGGTTGTTTTTGCTGCCGCTCGATCTCGGTGTTCGATCCTTAAGTTCGCTGCAGTGGAGATCGATAGAATGGAGGACCATTGATTCACCTTGCATTAAGTCCCCGACGAACTCCCAGGAAAGGTTCTCATTGCCTCGTGGCCGTACAAGCCAAGTGTCGCCTACCGAAATGGACCGCCCGAGCTCCGCCCTCTGCGCGAAACAGCTAAATATGCAGCGTCGGTCAAGGAGACAAATCTTTTCCGGCTCTTCGAACCTTTCTTTGC